TTCAGTTTGGAGCCAGATGAGTGATGGGACAGCATCAACCGGAGGTGGAAAGTACCTTGAGCTTGTTTTCCTTCCTGTTGATGATAACTGCTGTAATCTGCTGGTCCATGAAGATGAGGATAGTACAAAGCAGAGCTGGGATGAGGGTTATGACAGCCGTCCACCAGGGATTTGGCCCCAACGGGGTGATAAACCAGCCTCGATCGTCTCTAGTTGGCTGTTAAAACATTAATGCTGTATTAGTTTCACATATTTCCATGTTTAGAATCCACTAAATACAAAAATAAGTATTTCTTGATCACCTTAAACACACTGGGAACTTTAAGTTTTGGAGATGGAATCCCTAAGGCGTAGTCAACCAGGACCATGGTGAGAATAGTGATGAAAACAGCAAAGTCGCTGATGATGGATCGCACCTGAAAGACATGGCACCTGTTAAAATTAACTTTAAAACAATCAGAATTGTAATCCAACAAGCTCCCAAATGCTTTTTATTGCTGTATCCTTGCATAACCACTAGAGGGTAGTGCTGCACTGTGCTGCCCACGAGTCCCACACTTGTTGGGCTGTGATGAAGTTTTGTACCTTTGTGGGGAAGTAATTGCTGAACTTGAACTCTTTGAGGAAGGCAGACATGATGACAGTAGAAAAGAAGAGAATGACACACCAGAAGAGAACGTCAGGAATGTAAGGCCCATGAGGACCACAGGCGGGGCCCACAAACTCCCCCCGCTTCTCAACACAGTCCTGGGAGGGAGGCAGAGTGGAAGCATTCAGACTTATTAACCAGCAACAAGCAAGATTCAAGAGCTTTTGCAGCTATCAAAAAACAACTATTCACTTACATCATAAATGTGCTTTTATAATGGCATGCAGTGCAGTTTTAATCTAATCTAACCTAATCCAACCGCATGTCCTAAATCTCATCTCGTCTCCTCCATCTGGATAAGGAGGCCGCTTTAAGAGAAGTTCTTTTGTTCTGCAGTTCTCTGACCTATTTTGATCTGATATGCAGTTTTTTTCACTTGTTGGTAAAGAGGCGTACCTTAACCTCCAGGGCCTCCCAGTAGATTTCTGAAGCAGTGACATTGTTGACCTCCCAAAATGTCAGGGTGCCATTGGTCGGGTCTGAAGGCTCAACGCACGAACACCTGTGGCCACACATTTAACTTAATCAAACCTGATCTGCCAGGAAATATCATTTACAATAACTTTTTTTTGGTTTTAAACATCCTTTAAAGCAGAAATCCAGAGATTTTTTTAGAAATCTGTAAAAGTGATAGTCTGACCTTGTTCTATGACATAATGTAGGAAATATTTTCCTGTTCCATAGAGCCCCATGCAATTTGTTTTGACTCCCGTATAGCAGTAGCCAATAGCGTTGGCAAGCCATCCTTTATTTGTGAACATATTGACCCTTTGCACTGACGTCACCTAATCACGTGGGTCCAGCCTGGTGGACGGCTAAAGCATGTAAACAGTGAGCGACACGATTACTAAACAAAGGGAAAAGTAGAGCCTGAAATTGTTTTTGTGATCAAAACAAAAACAAAACTCCTCCAGCATTCCTTCAACCAGTTCATGCCCAGTTCAGTTATCAGAAGAAGTAGCGCATCTAGCGGGGGCTCATAGAGAGCGGTGTGTTAACTAGCTTACCAACGTTAGCTTACGTTCTCTCTGCAGCTGTTCACCGATGTAAACATGTTGCTGACTTTGCCTAAATTCACCCCTCTGGATTTATAACTTTATGTTGTTAACAGCGTTTCACTTTACACCAAAGCTGATTTTTAAAAAGTCCGGATCACTACCAGCTTCTGTTGCTGGTGGTGTTACCGGGTTCAGCTGCTGCTCTCACACCGGAATGAGAAGATCTCTGAACGCCGACGCTCATATAAATAAATAACGTAATTTTAACACACATAATCATACATCGGAGCTTTAATATTGTTAATAATCGTCTCGCTTTACACTACAGTGGACGGAGAAATGGGTGGTGAAATACCCATCCATCAGGATTATCAATAACTTGTATAAACATATCACATTTATCCCTGTCCCCGTCTTCCTTGTGAAATAAATTAACATTAATCTTACCCGATAAAAACATGTTCGCTGCAAATCTGAGGCCTGCTAGTCCGCTTGATCAAAGTTATTAAAAAGAAAAAAACGAGTTGAGTTCACATCCTCGTCTCTTAGTGCAGCCAATCACGCAGCAAGCTAAAACCATTTTACTGTCAAACTAAATAAAAGCGATAAAAGGCTACAAACTGGCTTGTTTTGACTACCTTCACTGGAGTTTCTACTGGTGTAAACGGTCTTTTTGCCGTCCATCATGGCAAAAGGGGCGGTCACATGAGTGGCGTGACGTCACGTGCAAAGGGTCAATAGTCTCGCCACGACCTATAAACCGACCTTGGTCATAAATGGTAAATGGCCTGTATTGAATACAGCACCTTCTAGAGTGCTGGAACCACCCAAGGAGCTTTACAACACAATCAGTCATTCACACACACATTCACACCCTGGTGGGGATGAGCTATGATTTTACCACAGCTGCCCAGGGGCACACTGACAGAGGCGAGGCTGCCGAGCACTGCCACCACCGGTCCCTTTGACCACCACCAGCAGGCAAGATACATTAAGTGTCTTGCCCAAGGACACAACGACAGCGACAGACTGAGCGGGGCTCGAATCTGCAACCCTCCGATTATGTGGCGAGCACTTAACTCCTGTGCCACCGTCGCCCACCACCTCGTGAATCATGACAATCTACGGTTGTCTTTCAAACGGTCTCTTCATGCTTAGGATAATGAACGGCCGGCATACTCACCACTACAAATGTCAGTGAACAGGGCAGACACATCAACGAAGACACAGTATGTACCTCTACCTGCTCTTGACTCAAAGAAAAGCCTAAGTCTAACTAGTCCATAGTTTCATATGGGCCATAGCCATCTCAGATGTTCCGCTCTGTTGCATCATCCTGCCCACCAAACCAACAGTGCTGTGATTGGCAAGACACGACTGAAGTTGTTAGCCGTTTAGCTAGCTGAGCAAGGATACACGGGAGGTGTCTTGTAGCCTGGCCTTGGCCAAAAATTTCCCAGAATACACCGCAGTATTTTCTAAAGGATGGTGGATCAGAAGCCAGCAGCTACTTCGGGGTCAATTTTCCAGTTTAAATGTAAGTCAACTAACTGTAGCTGTTGGGCTGATATCTGGAATTGTTTTTATAGATCCAAAGAAGTTATCTATGGTTGGTTAGTTGCTTAGTAGTTGCTGCTTCGTTGGCTAGCATGTAGTAACTTCCTTACATATTTAATATAACCAATATATACACAATTTAAAAAGTAAAAGGCTTGTTATGCATTTATATTAAAACTTATACATAAAAATTATGGCGTTATCTCCCGTGTCACATGACGTGATGTGACCGCAGCAGAAGCCACGATCACGTGATGAAAGTCTGTTCCATTTAACTGTTTCCTTTGACCAAGGAAGAACAGTGTCCTCGTAAAGCAAGGCGCCTGGCCTCTCAAGACATCGCCTCACGAGGCCAGGCGCCTTGACATTGACAAACACCCTAGATTTCTGCTTCAAAGGAGATGTCCAGATTATTTTTTTTATCTGGTGGCACCATCTAGTGGCTAACAAGCGCATTACACCAGGCGTTGTTTTCACTTCCGCATTTACGACAGAAGGCAGCACCTCTCGTTCATGAACGCGCTCCTCTAGCTGACAAAACAGAGCTAAAACACATTGTTTTACAATTATCATGCTCATGTTTTTTGTGTATTCATATATTTAAAGACTCACTTGTCCATGAGAAAGGTCGCCAACTCTGCTAAATCCGAGGTACGCTCAGCGCTCTTTTTGATTGACGTCTGTATGTAAGCGGTAGTCTAACGGTATTGGTTAGTGCTGGCCATTGTTTAGTTCGTATTGCATGGGGCGGGCTTAGCAAAAAATATATAAAAAAGATGTATTGCCTATTATGTCACAGACAATCATTTTTATGGATTTCTGAAAAACCACAATTCCCAAATTAGGAGTGTTTTCTTTCTCTTACGAGTATGTGGTGAGTTTGTCCAGGTTGTTGTTCTTGTTGAAGGCGTAGATCTCTCCCAGGTGGATAAGTTTCTCCAAGGCTTCGTAGATGAAAATGATACAGATGAGCGAAGCAAAAGCCTCCTCTGTGAAACGTGTTATATAGCAAACAAGGGAGCTGGCATCTGTGGCCACAAGCAGAATACAGAGGAAAGCTGTCCACAAACCGATGCAGGTCCTCAGCGACAGATAGGACAGGCCATACTCTCTGTGAGGAGATTACCAGAGACAATAGATGTGATTATTTATCGTTACAATCACGCTGTATTGGAGAAATGTATTATGACAATGAAATTTAAAGATCAGAGAATGCATTACAAAGCAAGCTGATTACATTTAAATCCAAAACATGGTGCAACGGGCAATTTAAAGAGCCTCGGGGGTTTCTGAGCCATTTCATTTGTGTGATTGCAGATCAACATACTTGCAGAATTTAAACAGGATCTTTTCAAACACAAGCACGGGGCCTGTGCTTCCCAGAATGGTGAGGGGCTGCCCAGCAAACAGCGAGTAGGCTATTCCAGTCACAGAGGCTCCAAACAGTGACTCAATTGCACTCTGGAAAAAATACAATATGAATGTTTATTCATTTTATCCAGTCAAAGGTTTAGTTCCGGTTTGAACTCACTATTCTCCCTTCTGTTGCCTCGCCCAGCAGTCCTCCAAAGGTGATTACAGGAGACATGCAGGCACAGTAGAGGAATAAGAAAGAGGCAACGCACTGCAAACTGATGGCGTCAGTGTAGTCGGACAGGTAGAAAGGGATTTTGCGCTTGATGTCCAGAACAAGACCACCGAACCACCTGAAAATTGAAATGAAAATCCATTTTCTGTCAGGTTTTTTTCACTCATTTATAAACAGAAATGTAAACAAAACATTGCTGTTTTTCCCAGGTTTATTCTCCCCTCTCTGCCTCTTTCCTATTGAGCTGTTAGCTTGGTGTGATGATGGAAAAGTCTAGCTGCAAATAGATATCAGAAGAAAAGGTGTTACCATGGAAACCAATCCACTGTCACTAGAGCTCAAGTTTCCACAGAAATAGCTGTTTGGTACAGCCGGGTGCATTTGTAGGAAGATGCAATTTTTCTGGCTCCACTTTATCAGATTATCCAAAAACAATATATAATAAAACATTTTAATGGTAAAAACACCAAAGGATCAGAGTTTATGTGTATCTTACCTCCCAGTGCGCTGGAGTTCTGGACCACCATGACCACCGTGTTCATCTTCCTCCTCTCCCTCCACTAATCCATTTGGTAAAATGTTGCATTTCTTTCTTTTTTCCTGTTTAATCAAAAGGTAAAATTCAGTCTCAGGCTAAAACTTTTTTTTTTAAGTAAAACAATCTTCAAAATGAAAAGTTCAAATACTAGCCTGAGAAGGAACATTCTTTGGTGGCTCTATCCGAATGGATGGATCCCATTCTCCTGGAGGCAGAACAGTCACTTGATCAAGGAATTCATCGATCCCAGCGATCAGGTCATTCCGGTCTTTGGCTTTATAGGCGACATCGTGGAAAACCTGGACAGAAAACAGTAAAATACTGAAAAGCAGTTTGTGTCATTTCACTGTCCGCAGTGAAAATTGAAACCTCCTGGTGAACTGGACCTGACAACTTGTGTTTCAAAGCTTCACTTAAAACCCAGAACTGACCCTTTAATTTTAGAAATCTAAAAAGAAAACGTCAACTTCGGCTGATGGGTGGTAATGGTGGCCCATTGCATAAGCAAAGTGTAACGTCCAGAAAGAGTAAATTCCCATCTAAATTTTGACCTACATGGTGACCCTTTAATCCAAAGGAATAAACCTGCTTCTGTGTGCTTTCTAATCTTCTGAACCAAGAAAGATTCTACGGTGCTTGTTGACATTCCAGGACACAAGATTGTCAACAAAGTGTTCTTCCCCAAGGTCTTCGGACAATAGCTTTCCTCTCATCTCAGACTGCTGGATTTCTCACAGAATAAAAGTGAACTGTTAAAATAATGAAGAATGAACGATGAATGAACAATATGGTTGAATGAACCAGATGTTATATGTTTGAATCATCTGTGCCTAATTCAGTGAAGCGAAATGAATATTACCATCACATTGAAAGATTTACATGTTATGATCAGTAATGTTTGATTTAACAAGTGAATCATGATCTACACTCATGCACAAGGTTCATAACAGGGATGTGTATTTTTGAAATTCTGGCGATACGATACATATCACGATACAGGGGAGACGATACGATATATCACGATATATTGCGATACATTCAGTCAGACGTTACAAGCAATTTGTTTGCTGAATTTATTGTAAGAATGTTCAATAAACAGTCAAATCTGATACGTAACATGTTTAACATCAGGTATCTGAACCATGATGGAGGGATTTACATTTCAATGGTGGAAACAAAACCCGTCACACACTGCTGCCAACTAGCAGGTGGCGATTGAATTGCACAAAACGAAAAGAAAATACACATGTTTGCATGTAAATTCTTTCAAGAATTAGATACACGGCTTTTGAATATCGATGTAATAATCACAGGAAAAAATATCACGATATATTGCCATATCGATATTTCCGATACACAGCTTTTGAATATCGATATAATATTGCTGGGAAAAATATCACGATATATTGCCATATCGATATTTTCTTACATCCCTAGTTCATAAGATACAAATTACGGTTACAGTCACCTCTCACATAAGTTTAGAGATTCTTTATCCACAGAACAAGACATCTTGTATCTGGAAGGCGTGATTTCTGAAAGATGTTGGTAACGTCAACAAACATGTCAAATTCTGATTTGCCAGAAATCCTAACATAGGGGTTAATAAAACTAGGATGACTTCCTGAGTTATTCAGTTTCCAGCTGGCACCTCAATTCGGCCAAATCAGGAAAGATGACTTTTTGAAGCAACCTCCTTTGGCCTTAAGTCAAAACCTTGCCACGACGCTGCAAGTGATTACAGACAACAGCTCCTTCCAGAGCTACTGCAACTCTCAGACGTCCGTCTTAGACGCAACGAGCCTTCCTGCCTGTTGGGACCCGGAGACAACTCTAGACTGGAACTGGTCTTACTGCGGTTATTCTGCGAACCTCTGTGCTTTGAGGTCCACCAAGACTTCCTGACATTCCGGATCTGCTGGGGGTCTCCGATCAGGGTTCGTAGACACAACAGATTGCGTCTGATGTTGTTTTATGAATAAGCAACTCTCTAGCTTAAAGCAGACCACAAAATTCTTTGCACCCAGAATTCACAATCTCTTTCAGATACAAAGGTTCTGATACACACCTACTCTACACTACACCACCTACAACACACATTCCATCAGCATTCCCTCACATATTCATAGCTTGTCATGCATTATAATTAGTCCAGAAAATAAAATTTATTTTTAATGATATACTTGACTCTGTCTGAATTAATATGAAGTGCGTTATGGTCCCTGAATAAGCAAAGAATCCTAATTTCACAATATTCCCAACTTCTGTTCTCCTAAAAGAGTTCCTAATCAAGTACAGACTTTGGAGTCGGTGATCCTTTCCCACAATCTTAGTGGATGACTACATGACGTCTGGACAAACAGGAGCACATGAGGGCTGACTAATCGCCAAAAAGCAAGTTCTGAAAGCTCTGAGCTGTGTTTCACACTTGAAAATGTTCCGCCACGTTGGGGAGTTTAATTGAGTTCTGCTGGGCTGTGAATTTATTCAAAGTGCAGAAAATCTGAGCATGACAACTGACTGACATTTCATCAAACCGCACACTTTTCCTCAAGATTAGAAACTCTCCAGGAGGCAGAACATTTTTCTCACCTCATCTGTCATAAGTGTCGCTATGGATCTTCCAATTTCATGATACTGAGGGCCCCTGCTCAAAGGTCCTAAAATAATGAACAGAAACCTGAAGATGATACAAGAAAAACAGTTTATTTTGTCAAATTAAACGTGAATCGTGATAAAAATCAAACATTTTTAGGAACGTCTGCAACGACCTTGTAGCAATCGGGACTTCAGCCAACCCGTTGAGCAGAACCGCAGGAGAGAGACGGACAAACGCCACCACCGGCTTGTTCAGGAACTCCAGTTCTCCCACCAACACGTTACACGCCTCTGCTCCTGGTGGGATCTTCTTCATAAAATGAAGATCTATCTGAAAAAGGTAGCACGGACAACCCTTGACACCCAAAAGTTGAACCTCTAAGCAGCTTTGGTCCATTTGAATAAAAAAAAAATACACTCATATGGCACGAATTCACAAGAAGAAGGTCTTTATTTACTTTTTATCCTCCCACTAATCCTTTAAATGCATGAATATAACTGGTTTCTAGTCTAAAATTCCTCCATCTGTGGGGGATTTGTTTGTGTTAACAAAGTAGGTCACAGAAGTGTGAAAGAAATATTGCAGAAGACATTTTTTGATCTGTTATATAATAATGACAAAGATTCCAGAATTAACATAAATAAAAACGAAGCCTTCTTTCTCCGGGTCTGCTTTCGGCTCTCTGACACTCGTATTGTGACGAGCATTTTGGAATATTAAAGGTGTTGATTTTTAAGTGATAATCGCATGACAAGTGTTCACTGGAGTGTTGCTTGTTCCCTCGCAGGCTGACGCTCCAGGACACATTGATTTATCAGATTAGTTTATTGGGTCACTGGGAAATAAAAAGCAAACTTACTTTTTTATTCAAGCACTAATTCAAGCAACAAAAATGTTATTTTTTAGCTCCTGTAACACATATTCAAAGCATTTTTTATAATTATTTCATGAGAGCTCAAAGAAAAGCATATGGAAGTGTTCAAACCTGCACAACATAATGGTGAATGAGTTCTTTTTTCCCATCTGTGGTCTGTGTTGACTGACCTTTTTAATACTTAACATGGTTATAATCCTAATCCCTCACTGGCTGCTTTTTCTGTGAAAAATACCCTCCTGTTACTCAAAAAAATGCAACATTGCATAACAGTCTGCTCATTTTTGTCAGATGTGATGTACTTTTTATGTGGAGTATTGTTATATAAAAGTATGAAGATCTTTAGTTGGCAATAGATAGGAAAAAATAAGCCTCAGGAGGTCAATATGCTTTTTATACAGTATTTATGCTAGGTAACCCGCAAAAAAGATCATCTAAGCCAAACCTTTTTGTATTTTCTGATGTACTTTTCTTATTCTCTTCCTGTTTTATTTTGTATATTTTTCCATTATATGTTTCAGCCAATTTTGCTTCCTGAGATTTCATTGCTGATTGTATATGGCTGAGTTTCATTAACTTGTTGAACGTTGTTAGGAGACTCATAATTGGTGCGCGGTGGCACGGCTACAATTAGTCCTAAACTCAGCCGCTATTCTTGACAAGCACGACGCGCAGGGAGCACATCACTCCTGTACTGGTGCCTGTGCACTGGCTCCCTGTACACTTCAGGGTGACATTCAAAGTGGTAACTCTGGTGTTTAAGGGTCTTCCCGGGACTGCTCCTCCTTACCTGGTGAGCCTTTTGAACAGACACTATTCATCAAGAGCCCTCTGTTCAGCTGATAGGGAATTGGTTCCGTGTTCCTGTTGCAGGTCACGGGGGGATCGTGCATTGTTGGTGTTGGCTCCGAGGCAGGGGAATGAACTGCTTTCAACCGTGCACCAGTCACCTTCTTTGCAGGGTTTTAAGTCTCATTTGAAGACGCATTTCTATTTAATGTCTTTCCAACAGCAGATGTCGTAGCGTAGTGTAACCTGGTAGAGCTGTATCACACTGTGTGTGTGTGTGTGTGTGTGTGTGTGTGTGTGTGTGTGTGTGTGTGTGTGTGTGTGTGTGTGTGTGTGTGTGTGTGTGTGTGTGTGTGTGTGTGTGTGTGTGTGTGTGTGTGTGTGTGTGTGTGTGTGTGGTGCAGCAACACAGGTGATCTCAATTAGAAATCAGGCACTGCTCTACTTAAGGGGAAGGCACACATAGCTCTGCATCTATTGCGGCTGTGCTGAACTCTGCAGGTAAAGACTCACGGGTGAACCTCGCTGTCTCTTAACTGCTTCCTCTTGTTAGTTTGTTTTAATGTATATAATGACTTTTATTGATCTATTGTGGCTGTGCTGAACTCTTTGCAGAACTCCTCGCAGAAGCTCACAGGTGTGCCAAACAGGGGAGACCAGGAGCCACTGATCAGAAGGACCAAACACCTGTCAGCACTGAGTCGGACGGCTGGAGGCACCGGGCCGATTGGGGGAAGCTCAAGTCATCGTCACTACCTGGCTTCATACATGTTGGTTTGGTGAAGACAATTCAACTTCCCCCTGGATTTTAACTGGTCTCCCTGCCCTGTTTTGTAGGCACAACCTGCACAGACTGAGCTTTTATATGGACTTTTAGCTTTTGCAATTTTTCATAAATGATCTATTTTTGAAGAGATCCGATTCTGTGCTTCATTGCCCACATTAATGCTGGTTGGTCAGATTCACTTCATGCTGGAGCCACAGTGAGGGACAAACATAGACTGCAGCGCATTGTGCGCTCTGCTGAGAAGGTAATTGGCTGCAGCCTTCCATCTCTCCAGGACCTGTACGTCTCCAGAACTCGGGAGTGCAGGTCGGATAGCAGCTGACCCTTCGCACCCGGGTCAAGACTTTTTGAGCCGCTCCCCTCAGGCAGGAGGTTACGGTCCATCCGGACCAGAACCTCCCACCATAAGAACAGCTTCTTTCCATCTGCTGTTAGACTTGTGAATAGATTATAAACACACAACCATGCTGGTCTTCTGTACTCGACACAACGTCACGTTATCGGCCATGTTACCATTACCTGCCATTTTTTTATAGCTGAAAGTTTTCTAGTTTTTTTTTATTATATTTTATTCGATTTTATTTTAATCTTATTGTTATATGTAGCACATTAGTACCGAAGCAAGTTCCTAATTTGTGAATTGTTTACTGAAAATGGCAAACCTATTCTGATGTAACATCTTGGGGCTTCTCTGCAGGTGTTACAGTAGCTTCATTGTCCAGAATGTAATGTGGTCCTTTTGAGTTTTTTTATTTTTTATTTATGGTTTTGTACTGTTTTTATGCATATTTGTTTGTTCTATTCTGCGCCTTGGGCATCTGATAAGGTTGCAGAAGGGGCTTTATAAATAAAGTGAAATGAAATTAAATGAAAATATTTTAATTGCTTTATTACAAATTTCTTCATTGATTAACTTTGATTCTTGTTTCACAGTCATTTTTATTAAAGGTGTCAAACACCCGTTTAATGTTTTCATTAGGAATGAATGTCTTGTAAGTCGTTCTCTGGGGAAGCAAATCTCCGGTGCAGCGATTAGAAGTAAGCCACAGCTGAGCTTCAGACGGCAGATTTTGTAGTCTTATTTCCTGATATTTGGACATCTAACCTCGAACTGGATAACAGCAACGCGCCTCTACCGGTGACTTGCAACGTTTTATCTCCACAAATAACACAAACCTGGAGAAGTTCTTCTGTTTGGAGTTGCTAATGCTAACGGTTAGCTTCTACAAGCCGAGACGTTCTCTGCTGTTTCCTGAACACTAAACAACAGCCTTCCACATCAAGAGTAAAGATAGGTGAGTTCATGAATGTTCGTGTCACTCAGATCTGTCAGGCTTTTCAAATCCTATGGTTTTACTGTTAATTTTCTATCAGAAGCTAATGCAGGAGATGCGTGAGAAAACTGATTATAATCAGAAATAATCTAAATATTTTTTCTGTGTTCCACATCTTTAAAGTATTTGCTTCTGTTGATGCCTAAACCAAATAAATAAAAAGCATACCTTGCTGAAGTCCACAGAGCTGTTCTCTCTGCTGATGTCTCCTTTTCCATCTGGACCTGCTAACTGGGATTGGGAGGCTGTCAGCTGACCTGAATAAACAAAAACTCACTGGTTCAACAAGTTACATTTCATTAGATTTTACATCTTAATACTGAATACATTTTGAGTGAGCAAGTATTTTTAAATAAACTGTTTAACATTTCACCTTTATTTAAATGCACAAATGCATTCATGATTCAGATTAACTTTTTTAGACACAACCATCAAATATGCTGCAGTGCTTAAGGTCTGTTTTCAGTATTAAGTAAAGATGGGATACATTGTTTACAAAGTTTTAAGTAACTTCAAAATGCTTAAATGTGACCCTGTTCCATAATATAAAGAAGGTAATCTTTCATAATTTATATTTCTCATAAATCAGAAAAACAAATCAGTTATATGAGCCTAGACTGTTGACCAATAGAGTTGTGTATCCACAGGGAGCTGTCAATCTTTGAGAACGTGCCCCAGTCAGCTTAACACACCAACAAAGAAGAAAGAACACAAGAAGTTCACAACAGTTGAGTAGAGTTTACCATAGACATACATATATGTCTGTGGAGTTTACATTAGAAACACTAAACGATGGAGGGAGTTTCTTGATTTACAAGGGCTCAAAACTGATGAAGAGCTGGAAAAGTTTGTTTTGGACAGGTAAATACTATCATTATTGTGTTTTAGAGAACCGTAACCAACATTTTATTTAGACAAGAGAAATATTGGTGCAGATAATTGTTGTATGTGGTGTTTTCAGTAGGCTAATGTGTTGCTAGCTTGAATGCTAACTTGGCCTACATTGAATTAAGGTCAGTCTGTAAACTTCAAGCTGACTGGGGAACAAAAAGGGATTTATCTTTCGTGTACTGAAGCTAAGTGATTAGCGCAGCGTTTAACCTTACACTACATCGGACTTTTGTTTTAGCTCTGCTGTCCCTGCGTGTCCGCGGTAGGAGGTGTGGCTTTCAGACCTGGAAGTAGTGGATAGCCATTCAAATTGAAAAATCTCCTCTTCTTCTCCTTGATGACATCACAATATGGACTCCAGCTTTGCATTTGTTAAATGATGTTTAAAATGCATGACCTTGAGATAACCAGAGGCTGTCGTTTGACCTAATCTGTTTGAACTTTTCTGAATTTTGCCAATCTTACTCAGAAAAAAAATCAAGACAAGATGAGGATCTGCTGGAAATATTTCCATGAACTCAATTAAAAAAGTTTCACTTTCTAAATAATGCTGACATGTTTCTGAACACAGATTTTTTTTCCCTTACCATTCTTGTCCAAGTGGAGTTCTGATGCCCGACGGCCCATATCAGCGATGGAGCGCACAATCGGCAGACGGTTGCTCAGCTTCTTCTGGCTCTGGTGATGGTGCTGCTTTAGGAGGGTTTCACGCACTTTCTGTCTGAGCTCATCTCCCAGGGGTGAGTATAACTCCTGGTGGTCCAAAACCATATCTAATGTGGAAAAAACACAAGCTGTGAACCTTTAAATACAAACAAATAGATTTTATTTTGATAGATGTTGAGTCTTCCAACGACAGCTTAAGGTCCTACACTGTACTCGGTAAATACACACGACACATGAAATACTTTCAGTCATGGACATTCTCCGTTCGGATGTGAAATCTCACGAGATAAAACTTCAAAGTGAACAAGCATGGTGGAGGAGCAGCGTGCTGTGCACTTCGGTCACCTCACTTTCTGATTGGCTAGGCGCCACATTCAACAGGTATCACATTCATTTGTATCTGAAAATCAGACCAATGGGATTCAACATGCTTGAAAGCCGTATTAATGATTGGAGTGATCCTGATGTCCTTCCGAGTGGACCAGAGCGCTCTTAACACACCACAAAAGGTAGGATTGTAAGATTATCTTTAGAAGCATTACGGTAATGTGCAACTTTAAGATTGTCAGAAGGGGCGGAGCTAGTCAGAAATTGGCATGATTGTCCTGCTGTTAAAAAGGCTTTACCTGCAATCTCCTCGATGCTGTTGGCCCTCATGTCGAGCAGCACGGTGCTGTTGATGATGCAGCTGCGCAGCTCAAACAGACTGTGCAGAGACAGTGTAGCAACGTAGGGTTTGCTCCATCTCTCTCCTCCATCTTCCACATCCTCCTCAAACTTCAGCCACCTGTAAGACGAGTTTGCATCAAGTGAAGACAGCAGACGGCAAAACTGGCCTGCCATCTGTTCTACGTCTGCACTCATTCGTTCTGAGGCCCTCACATGTAGCTCTTAAATCTCCTTTTTCCTCTCAGCTTCACTCATTTACTCTCCATCCTTATTGCTTTTTATCAGAGTATCAATGTAAATAAAATATGTTGTATATTCCATGTCAACAGAACACGAGGACTTAGCAAAGTAGTCTTGTAACCTGAAAAATAGCTGAAGTTATCTAATGTTGTAGAAACAAAAGGTGGCATGGCATACCTGGCGCTTTCTCTCCACTCGGAGTTGTCTCCATCCCGCACACAGATCTCATCCATCTGAGTGAAGAGGTCATGAGGGATGTGCTCCTCGTCATCATCATCTGCTCCCAGCAGGAACTGGACTCTCTGGGACGGAGTGTCTGAGCCGATTGAACTAAGATTAATCACATCTAATAACACTTTAGTAAAAACTAATGAATGCATCAGTGTTGGTACCATAAACTGGCGACTCTGGACCCTCCACTAAGAGGAGGCTCCTATCCCTGCTTCTCCTCCAGTGTTTTTTTCCATGGTGACGGTGCCTGTGATGGCTACGGTGCCGTGTGCTGCCCAAGGGGACATGGACCCCGATGTAGAGAGTCCTGTGGCCTGGGGGGGGGGGGGGGGGGGCAGAAGATGTTTATCAATAGTTTTACTATAAGGTCAGAACGATTATAGGTGATAAACACAATTCTTTAAATTATCATGTGGTTGAAAATAGCACATTGTAACTTGTGAAGTAGATAAATACTTTGTTGTCATTTTGCATTCGCAAAACAATATTTGGTTTGTAGCTTGGAAGGCACAACTTCTACAAATAGCAGCAGCTAGACATAAAATGTGCATCTAATTCTAAAATCCCAACAATCGACTGCTAATCAACATATCCGTTCCACTGATCGACATACAAATCAATAATATTGCACTTCTTGTTATTGCTCAGGGATGATTCAGTGTACACAGGAACAATAGCAGAATGAACACATCAGAGTAGGAGTAAATTACAATCCCCCATTAGGGTCAAAACAAAGAAACAAGTTATTAAATATAGTATTTATTGTTTACACTGAATACTGTTTATTTTCAAGACTGGATGGAAGTAATCAGCTGAGGCACATTTGTAAAAATACCCAAAGATACAATTGTTTTTGAATAAGTTTTAAAATAAAATACAACTATCAGCATAAAAATTATTTGATATCTGAGTAATCTGTCTCAGTAACAACATGAACATTTTGGTTTCAACATCTCTTTTCAACTACAGATAAATATATTCACATGCTTTGGTTTCACATGATGCTTTAAATGAAATTATCACGAAAAAAAATCTGTGCTTATTAATGTTTGGGGTCTCAGCGGGGCTGGCACGGGGGGGGGGGGGGGGGGGGGGGGCAAGCTCGCTGTCATAATGGCACTGGCCCACTTAGACCCCCCTCTAGAACTGCCCCTGAAGACCTTCTCTAGAATTTCCAGAGCCTGTTCATAGTTGAGAACAATTTTCCTTTCATAAATTATTATGTGGATGTACCATGGGCACAGAAAGTTTTCAGACCCCCATCAATTTTTACAATTTTTACTAATAAATGAATGAATGAATTTTTACTCTTTGCAGCCATTTGCTAAACTCTATGACATTAAATTTTCCTCATTAATGTACACACAGCACCCCAAGAAGAAAACATGGCTGAAGAACTTAAGAATGGATCCAGAATGGCCACACTTTGCTATTTGACACCTACCCCTGAGAGTTCTTCAGCTCCTGGCCTTTGGTTTCTCCATCCTGATGTTTATATCTTTGTTTTACTGCCTATGTTTTTCCTGAGTGATTGGGAAATTACCGGTGCAAACTCAGCTCGCCCACAGCTTCAGCCTCCTACTCTGCTCTTATCTTTTAACATTTAAAAAAAAAAAGACTGTCAAGAGGAAAGCAGCAGTTGTTAGGACAGAGTGGGCGGACTCTGCAGCAGCTCAACTTGCTGCTTGATGCTTTTTGGTACCTTCTAAATCTTCCTGCTCAAAGTTTGTTCTCTGTTGAGACCGTGTTCCTCCCCTGTCCACCACCGCCTCATCATCGTTCCTCTGTTGGGCACACAGATGCACAAATCAAACAAAGAACATTTACTCAGTAGTGGAACTGGTTTAGTACAGCTTAAAACCTTCAAACCCCTTCTTCCTTCTGTTACAACCTGAAATTGCCCTCTAGTAAATCTCTGTTGACTCGACTTTCAGTCGAGGACATCGTGAACAAACACATTATCCCACGCTGAAAAGCACGGTTGCCTTGGAAACTAATTACATGTCTTTTTATTCTGAAGGAAAGAGATTCATGACAGTTCAAACAAATTGTTCGTTATTATGAGCGAAAGATGTTTCCCACCTGTACATAAAGTTCGACTTCAACATGTTCACCTTGAAGCGGTGTGTATCTTGACTTGAAAAGCGTGCATTATTTCTATAGCAAGAGCGGTGTTATTGTTGTTGCTGTAGTTGTTGGATTATGTAACCTTTGAGAACATAAATGATGACGGATTTGTTTAGAAAAACATTTCACAAAATGATTTTTTTAAATGTATCATCTTTTTGATCAGCAGATCCGTCATTTATTTTAGCACATTTAACTTCTTATAGACTGTTATTGCAAATTCGCATCAACTTCTGACCTTAAAGCAGCCAGATGGAGAATTGGGATGAGTACTGTGTCCAGGTGGGTGATTTTGCGTCAGTGCTGTCTTTCTCTGGGGTGTACCACAGGGATCAATTCTTGGCCCTCTTCGGTTTTCCGTTTATTTGCTTCCATTGAGGTCAATATTTTGAAAGCATGTGGCAAAATTTAATCTCTATACAGATAACTATCTGCTTTTTTGTCCTGTAAAGTTTGCTAAAACTGGACAGTTGCAGTTAGGGATGGGTACCGAATTCAGTACTTTTTAAGGCACCGACCGAATTCCATAGTACCGACTGAGTACCGATTCACATCATATGAAATGGTGCCTTGTTTCGGTACCCGTGCCGCTCGCTGGCGCAAGAGCGTATCTTGTCACTGTGGATGAGCTGTAAACAAAGCAGTCACTAAATGGGATGGGTAACTGGGTGGTGATGAAACCAGCAAAAAAGATCTGAGGAAGTTGTCAGAACCCAAGCCCCCGGACCGGCCTCTCCCAGCTAACCGGCCTCCATCTTGGACCACATTTCCCAGCATGCTCCTTGCGGGAACTCCCGGCATTCTCCCAGTCACTCCCAAGCCTATATATGGAAGACGCCGCACCGGCTCTTCACTCAGTCATCGTTTCATTGAAACCCATGATCAGAGTTCTCTACCTAATAATCCAGACATCAAACATCCTTACCAAGCTCAACTCCCGTACCGTCGACCATCGTGACAGGATGACTGAGTCCGTAGATCCAGCAGAGTTCGAGCGAATGAAAAGAAAGATGGAGCAAATGGAGAATGAATTCTTTCAGTTCCACACCCTGATTGATCGGCTCAATACCAAGCAAAACTCCCAGACCGATCTCATTCTGCAATTATCCACAGCCCTCCATGCTCTCCAGCAGCAAGCCCTCACTCCACCAACAGAGGGGCCGCACTTCAGTCTCCCGGAGAGGTGGAATGGAGAGACAGGGAGCCCAGACGGTCTGCTCGCCACCCTCGACATGCAGTTTGAGTGCCAACCAGGACGCTTCCCCTCTGCGCGCTCTCGGGTGGCGCATCTCACCTCCCTGCTCTCTGGAAGCGCGGCTGAGTGGGCCGCTGCGCTTTATAATTCCAAGTCACCGGCTTGCAATGACTATGCTGCTTTTGTGTCCGCCCTCAGAAAGACTTTTGTTCCACCCAGCAGCGAAGTGGGAGCAGAAGCACAACTCCTAAAGCTCCGCCAGCGGGAGCGCTCGGTGTGTGCTTATGCGTCGGAGTTCCGCACCATCTCCGCCAAGCTGCGGTGGGATGACTCTGCCCTCCGAGCCGTCTTCTTGGAGGGACTGGCGACCTACATCCGTGACGAGATGGCAGGAAAGGAACTGCCCCAGACCCTGGATGAAGTGGTCGATCTGGCGCTGCGCATCAATCAGCGGGTTCTGGTTCGGCCCAAGCCCTTCACTCGCCCATCCAGGGTGCCTGGACCTCTTCCTCGTTCCCCCACGCCTGCTCCCAGACCCGCTTCTACTGATGAGCCCATGCAATTAGGCCACCTTCCTCCGGAGGAGAGACAGCGACGGTGGCGCGAGGGTCTCTGTGCCTATTGTGGCTCCTCCGACCACAGACGCCTGAACTGTCCATTACGTTTGGGAAACGACGGAACCCACTGAGTATCGTGGTCACTCAGCCTGGGTCACCTTCAACCCCTGCCTCTTTAAATCGACTCCTTCTTCATGTCACCCTCCTTCATGGTGAGACCTCACTTCAGATGCACGCGCTGGTGGACTTGGTGGCCGCTGACAATTTTATTGACATGGATCTGGCTAAGCGCCTACAGATCCCCATGACCCCCTTGGAGAGAGTTGTGCCAGTGACCTCGGTGGACAGTAGGCCCCTCCAACCCTATCGGTCCAAAACCGAACCCAGCCACTCCAGATGACCGTCCAAGGCCACCGTGAGACCCTCCGGTTCCTGATCATATGTGCTCCCTCCTCTCCTCTAATCCTGGGATTTCCCTGGCTCCGTCTCCATGACCCCCGGATCTCCTGGTCCCAGGGCCGCCTTTTGGAATTGGGGACCCAGTGCCAGGCCCACCTCTCTCCTCCTCCATCCATGCCAGACCGCCCAGACGTTGACCCCGGCCCAACACCGCCCAATCTGCCACTGCCCTATCGGGACCTGGCTGCAGTGTTCGACAAGCGGCGCGCCACCACGCTGCCGCCTCACCGCCCGTACGACATGGAAATCAAGCTGCAACCAGGAACCAGTCCACCCCAGGGGCGCCTTTTTTCTCTCTCTCCCGCCGAGTCCAGAGCCATGGAGGATTATATCGACCAGGCCCTCCAGCAGGGTTTCATCTGACCTTCCTCCTCCCCGGGTGCCGCAGGCTTCTTCTTTTTAAGGAAAAAGGAGGGTGATCTCCGCCCCTGTATCGATTACCGAGGTCTGAACAAAATCACAGTCAAAGACTGTCATCCTCTGCCACTCCTCACGTCTGCTCTGGACGCCATCTCCCAGGCGCGGATCTTCACCAAACTGGACATCCGTAGCACCTACAATCTGGTCCGTATTAAAGCTGGAGATGAGTGGAAGACTGCGTTCATCACCCCCACCGGTCATTGGGAGTACCAAGTCATGCCCTTCGGGCTGCGCAATAGCCCCGCCGTTTTTCAACGCCTCATAAACGATGTCCTCCGCGACATGTTGGGACGGTGGGTGTTTGCCTACCTGGACGACATCCTGATCTACTCCAAGTCCGAGGCCGAACACCTCCACCATGTTCGCGCTGTTCCAACCCGGCTCCTGGACAATAACCTGTTCTGTAAGCCCGAGAAGTGCTCCTTCCACCAGCAGTCTGTATCATTCCTGGGCTACATGATTTCAGATAAAGGACTAACGATGGACCCTCAGAAAGTCCAGGCAGTGAGAGACTGGCCCCTCCCAACAAGCCTGAAACAACTGCAAAGTTTTCTGGGTTTCTGCAACTTTTACCGCCGTTTTATTAAGGACTTTAGCACCATTGTGGCACCTCTCACTTCTCTCACCCGACCAAGCCCTCTCGGCCAACCGTTCCGGCTGACTCCAGACGCCGTTCGGGCCTTCCAATACCTAGTCACCCGTTTCACGTCGGCTCCTATCCTCCGCCATCCGGATCATGCAGTCCCCTTTGTGGTTGAGGTCAACGCCTCGGATGTCGGCGCCGGTGCCATCTTGTCCCAAGCCGGGCCCGACGACAGGCTTCATCCCTGCGCCTACTTCTCCAGGAAGTTTTCCACCACCCAGCAGAAGGACGGCGTAGGGGATCGCGAGCTGCTGGCCATAAAATGGGCATTGGAGGAATGGAGGCAGTGGCAGGGTAGAAGGTCTTCTCCAGGTCAGGGATGAGGTCCTGCCCCAAGTGGAGGAGTTTAAGTATCTCGGGGTCTTGTTCACAAGCGAGGGAAAGCTGGAGCGTGAGATCGACAGGTGGATTGGTGCTGCATCTGCAGTGACACGGGCGTTGTACCGATCTGTCATAGTGAAGAGAGAGCTGAGCCAGAAGGTAAAGCTCTCGATTTACTGGTCGATCTACGTTCCCACCCTCTCCTATGGCCACGAGCTTTGGGTAATGACCAAAAGAACAAGATCACGGATTCAAGCGGCCAAAATTAGTTTTCTCCGCAGGGTGGCTGGGCTCTTCCTTAGAGATAGGGTGAGAAGCTCGGTCATCCAGGAGGGGCTTGGAGTAGACCCGCTGCTCCTCTACGTCAAGAGGAGCCAGTTGAGGTGGCTTGGGCATCTGGTCAGGAGGCCTCCTGGATGCCTCCCTGGTGAGGTTTTCTAAGCACGTCAAACTGGGAGGAGACCCAAGGGAAGACCCAGGACATGCTGGAGGGACTACATCTCTCGGCTGGCCAGGGAACGCCTTGGGATTCCCTCGGAAGAGCTGGCTCTAATAGCTGGGATGAGGGAAATCTGGGCATCCCGGCTTAGGTAGATACTCCCGCAACCCGACTCCAGATAAGTCAGATAAGGCTGAAAATGTATGGATGGACGGAAGTGCCGGTATCGATTCGTAGGTACTGGGAATTGGTGTCGTGTTGATTCAAATGTCAAAGGTACCCATCCCTAGTTGCAGTACATCTGAAATCAGAGCAGACTGCACTTTTTCGATCATGGCACCAAAACTTTGGAATGCTCTACCAATGGGTGTTAGGTAAGCTCCGTCTCTCTTGATTTTTAGGATTAGGTTGAAGAGATGATTAGATTTTAATCATACTGAGTAGTAAATTGTCCAGCATGGGTTGCAGGTTCTATCCCAGCTACCGGCACCCCAATGCACCTCACCACAACACTTTGCAGTACTTTACATTTATGTAAACATGCTTTGAATAACAACTAATTGTAACATAACTTAACAGAAAAAGAAAATATACAAAAAATTTGCTAAATGATTAGAAATGTGAGCAATTTTATTAAATTATCTGTTTGACCTGTACATTCATAAACGTCCATTGAAAGAGTTTCAATGGAAAAATTCAAATATTACTGTTTAATAAATTCTAACTTGAGCTGAGTTTTGAAATAATTTTGCTCCTGGATAAAACATCATCTTTTTACAGGAATAAAATCCCATTTGTTAATCAGAGAAAACCAGCGATTTCTGCTGTGACCATCAGCGTGCTTATGTAACGTTTTGAAGGAGACGAGAGCGAGGAGGTGTTGAATAGCTTTTCATGAAAGCACCACTTTTCATGTGCGTGAAAGGGTGTAAACATCTTCTTTTACCTGGTTTTTAATTAAAAATTTCTCCTTTTCTATCATCGTAATGGTTTGGAGGCTTTTTAATACAAAATGGGATTTCACAACTCGGCCTCAGTGCTGGCAGAGACGTGTTAATGAGGGACTCAGTCAGCACAAAGGTCACACAACCAGCAAGACAAATTAGGGTTAGGGTTAGAGGAGGCTAGAAATCTACCGTAATCTGTCTGTCCGCGGTGGATTTATCTTTAGATTTACTCAGAAAAATAAAAAATAAAATTGTTTAACAGAAACTAAAGCTGGACACAAATATATTCATTGAATTATTATTTTTGTATAAAGCAAGTTGAGGGCCATACATTGGTTGTCCATGGTCGAACCTTGATTAGCTGGTTGTTCGTTGAAGGGAAATCGGGGACTTCTTGTGGTTTAATTTTCCAAAATGTCATCCTGATTGGTTTTTTTCCCTTGCTGTCAACATAGGTTAATCACTAAATCAATTGCATGTGTCTAAAGGAGTACCAGGAATAAACAGGTGAAAATGACTCTGAATTATAGATGAAAAGGAGTATTTATGTTGGGTGGGGTGGGGGGGATAAATTGAAAAGGTGTAATTAAAATCTGGTGGCATGTAAGCAAAGACATTTCAGCTTCACATGCATATCTTTCTAAACCTTTATCTTTTATCCTTATTTTAAAATGGACAAAAATCTTTTAAATTTTCTAAATTAAGTTTATTTTTTTTTAAATGAAATTAATTGTAAGACCCATCTTGTGCAGCTTTTTTTAGTCAGAATCCTGGAATGAAACACATATCTAAGGTATCACAACTTACCAGCACCTCTGAAGCTCCATAATTAACATCCTGTTGTTTAATCAGCACCAAAGTCACAGTGTTAACACAACAATCCACAGTTTCCTTACAGGTTTGTTCGCAGGATATTTATTCATAGCATAAATGTGTTGAAGTACAGTTGCTGCACTTTGCTAATTGAATAAAAATGAATGAAAATGGGGCGGAAGATCATCCCTGACAATGTAAAAAATGCCTGACTAAATACTGACTTTAGTGTTAATTCGGCTGACTATAAATCAACTTGGTAAAAAAGAAAAGGTTAATAAAGTAGACAACAAATATGTACATTTATTTAACAATAAGCTGAATTTCAGCCAACTCAGCTAATTTAGGGTTTGACTTTTGTTTGTTAGAAACCAACAAAAGTATTTAAAAAAATGGCTTCATTTATAATTATTTTGTGACCAAAATCATTTCTGAAACACCGAAAGAAATGAAAACAAGTGTGCAGCTAATTGATAATCCAACCAATAACAATGACTCATTTAAAGGCATACTTGGCCGTTTTGGCTTGCTTTTAGCACCCCCCTGGTGTCTGTTAAGTAGAACCAAAAGCGAAACCTATCTCCTCGCTGTCTGTTCATACTTTTAACACCTTCATCCAATTGCTGAAATGTCTCCTCAGCCTTCATTAGTGTCTACAGGAGTGAATCACAACTAAATTACATCTAAAACATGCAGCAAACATGCTGAAAGCAGACTGCAGTGCCAGGTCAATCATTTTCTAAGTCCAACAGACCGGACCGCCACCCTGAAGTTGCAAATGCGGTATTCTAGCTACAGAGGGCGGTGATCTCAGTGACATTTCATTAACCTTGTAAACCCTCATTTTAGCACATGCTGGCTCAAGAAAATTATTTTAAAATATGAAAAATAGCAAAGTATGGCTTGTGTGAGCTGAATCTCCTCATTTTGTATGTTGTGCTAACATGTTTTGATTTAAATAAATCAAACATGTCATTAAGTTGCTTAATTTTAGTCATTTTGCTGGAGCCACCTTGACCACCAGTTCACCAGCGGAGCATTATTTTAATGAAGCGAGCTGCTGTTCACAGCTGCAGAGCCACATGTGCTGGCTCAGATGATAATCTGTCTGCAGGAAATGGATCAACATCCTCAGTCAGATTAAACCGCTGGTAGTTGATACTTAAATACCATTTACACTAGCTTATGTTAAATGTTCACTACTCACTGTACATTTAATGTCCTGTACATTACCCAAAAGTAGGATATATTTTACTCAGGCAGGAAGTGCACATCCAGGATTGAGTTTAATGCACCATAATCTCTGGAAACTAACACAAAGCATCCATCCTGATGACTTCTATATAAAACTGTGCCGCAGTAACATTCAGATGTTCAAATCCTGATCGTAAGCCTTAAAAGTAAACCCTTTCTGTTTATTATCCAATTATTCCCCAGCGCTACCTCTGGCACTAATGATCTGCTTTTACGCCTGACTTTACGCTGAAGGATTTTACAAACCACTCGGCTGACATAATATCCCAGGATGTGGAACAAACTTGGATCTGATCCCTACAGATGGCAATTTTGAAACCATCAGTGGCAAGCGGAGGCTTTCAGTGTGAGACAAAATGCTCTGTAATCCTTAAATGATTCTGCTTTCAAGCTCCCATTGGAGTACACACATTAGTACTATTAAAGGTACTCTGTTTTTCTGAGCTGCTATTCAAGATGTTTTTCAGCTTTGAGCCGTCATTTGACCGACATCCTCTTTGCTTCGCTCCCGCGTGCGACAAAAAGGTTATCACTTTATTTTCAGTGTGATCACACACTAAAAAAGTCACACAAGTCAGCCCTATCAGCTCTGCTGCAGCTGTCTAAACACATTTCATGACAAATTTGATTCATCCAGGTGAAGTAAATGCTGAATCATAAGACTCTAAATGAAACCTCCTCCTACCTGAGTGTTGAAGCTCCAGGGAACCTGTAAGGTCTCCGAATGCATGAGTCCCCCGTCTGCGTCGTCTCCTCTAAAATCACTTTACAGCGAATGTGACACAGTCTAAAAGCTGGGCTCTGAGCAAACTCCTGCTGCCGTGCTTCACACCATGTCTGATCAAGGCTGGTGCCCATCTGTTGTGTCAAACCACTGGAATTTCTGCACGAGCTTCCAAAAAACTGCTTCACTGCTCTCTGTGTGTGAGATTATAGATTACATCGCTGCAGCCCTGCAGCATTTTATCAGAAATGAAACGATGACTCCTGCTTCTGTTGCACGAACACAAAAGGCAGCCGCAGATAAGCTTGTGCTGCATCAAATCAACCTCGTCGTCAGTGTTTTCCTGATCCCAAACGTCACCTCTTTTAAGATTTGAAGCATTTTAGAAAACGCTGATCATTTTAAATGTTTTATTGCACAAACAATCCAACTCACCAAGCTCCTTCGCCCAACTGATGAAGGGCTGACCTGAAAGAAAATCAATGTTTCCTTGAGTTTATCGGGTCAAGATAAAATAAAAGGCTCTAACATTAACGTTTTGTTTTTCAGCTTTGCACTTTGTGTATAAGTCTGTTTTGATATAAAGAGCAATCAGATAACAACAAATCTCATCCATTATGATCAGCTAATCCCAATAAAAATGGGCTCATTTCTCTTTGAGAACATCCCCATGAGAAACATTCTAAAAATAAAGCTTAAGGATAATTCCAATTTCTTGGAAAGTTTGCACAAATGCCACATGTGACACAGCAGGTTTGCATAATGCACAAGGTTAATGCAAAAAGAAAACATCTTTTCTAAATTAAACAAAAACCCTAATGTAACTTTAAATAAAGGTTGAATGTGTCATTATTTACAATTTATTTGTGTTTTGCTACCGAATGTATTTTGTTGTCTGAGCTAAACTATCAGTTTGTGAAGAAACTGTCTTTTCAAAATCCCATTATCTACTTTGTAAATATGCATGTTAAAATTTTATGTTTTCATTTATAAACAATATAAAAACATGCAAAGAAAACCAAGAAATGTTAAAACGTCTAACAGTGGATCATTAGGATCACCATGGAAACCATCTTTTACAGTAACCGTTCCGACTGTCCGTGCTACTCGTCGATATGTGTTACTTTAGGGACATGCGCAGGCCGATGACTCAACACGTTCTCACACCTGAAGCAGCAAAAACTGATGATGGGTGACCAAGCGTTTGGCGACAAACACTGTTTATTTTTGCTGATAAGTATGCTGCAGTTCTGTATTTTTGAGTAATATCTACTTAAAATTAACTGTGCTAAAATGAGCAAGTCACCCCCAAATCAACTTTTTTTTGCTGATAAACTATAGAAATGAGTGCCTAATCGTGCTGCACACACGTGTAGTCAATAATTTGGCACTTTAGTGCATCTTAGTTAATATTTAAATATTCTGCCTGAAACTGTCAGTGTTGTGCAGTTGTCAGGTAAAAACTCAGCACTGCATTTGAATTTAAATCTGCCGCTGCTATTGGCTAAATATTACACTATGATGTTAGCTGGTCCATTATGAGGTCACAATGTCATTGTGAGCCTGTGTGGGTGTATTTGCTAGTGGCTCCACTCTTTCTGTCTGCCAGGCAACAGCGTTTTCTGCATTTTTCAAACAGGAAGTGGGAGCGGAGTAAGACTCTGGTATGGAGAGACTTGCTCTTCATAGTGTACCTCTTAGCCAATAGGGATGGCAGATTTAAATTCAAATGCAATGCTGAGTTTTTACCTGACAACTGCGCAACACTGACAGTTTAAAGCTGAATATTAAAATTTATATAAGATTCACTAAAGTGCCAAATTATTGACTACACGTTTCTACCTCCGCACAATTAGACACTCATTTATATAGTTTATCAGCAAAAAAAAAGTTGATTTGGGGGTGACTTGCCCTTTAATAAGCGTGTTACTATACTGTAAACAAGAGCGAAGTCATAACACTCAATGGTAGGAAAATTTGACAAGGACGCACTTATAGTCAGAACACCGGCATTCCCCTGGATGCATAAGCATCACTAAATTTGATAAAAATGTTTTACCTGCAAGCTCCCTTCCCACCGGGAGCATTTTTGACGCGAAAAGGTACCAAAAGCGTTCCACGCAACTGCTCCCTCAATCTCACAAAATGATTAAATAATTACAAGACCATGGCTGGCTTCAGCTATTCACACATTAACATGGAAGGAGAAACATGGCAGCATGTATTTAAAATAGAAAATATATAAAATCTATAAAAAGCGTAAGCATCACATCCCTACGCTTCTGCGATGCGTCCAAAATTCAACAATTTGCAGCTGGTAGAAATGCACCGATCCAGTAAAACGACGGCTAATTGCTATGTGCTACGCTTTGCGGACGTTGCACAACGACACGCACCCGGCGGAATTGCTCAGTGAGACAGCAGACCTAATAAGAAGTATCCACCTTATTCCAGGGCCGGCTCATGTAGAAACAATTAGCTAAATCTGGTGGGATACCAGAAATAGCTCAAAGCTATTGGCTTGCGTGGTGAGGATTTTAAAGTGTACTTGTGCAGTTCGGGAACATGTTTCACTGTTCTCCGATTTACTAACAACCAGATAAAGTTAAACTTGCAGCTAGAAGAGTGATGATTGGAACATGCGCCTCGGCGTAAGAGAGAGTGTGCCTGAATCCACTTTGGCTGTACATCAACGTATGAGGACCCGGCCTTTCCCTATCTGACTGCATTCTCAACCTGAAATAAAAATTATTCATAAATGTGTACACACTGACTTTGGACCCTAAATGTGTAAATGTGCTTTTGAGAAGCAGACAAATAATTGAAATAGAGCTCAGTGTTTAACATAGACATTATAAAATGATTACCCTAACATAAAAATAACCTTCTGTGAACAAGCTGCTGTTTGTATTTCACCTGATGTAGAAACTTAAATTTTGGCTTAGTGGGGAAGATTTTTAAGGCTCTGACTCGGCTCCACGTCTGTTTTTACGTAAATAAGGTTGTGTTCCATCACTTTCAAGAAAGAAGAAGAAGAAAGTATCATTTCTATAGCAAGATAAAAATCACGAGGTGCTTCACAAAAACAAAAAATGTAAAAATATAAAAAAGAATTTAAAAAATGTTTAAAAATATATTTAAAATGAGCAAAAATAGGCAATTGTGATTAAAAAATGTTAAGAAAGAGAGAGAGTGAATAGGAAAGAGGGAAATCAGTGGATCCTGAGGAAGGTGGAATAGGTGGGAGAGCAGAATAAAGAGAGAGAGGTGAAGAAGATCATACAAAAGCCAGCTTGAACAAGTGAGTCTTCAGCTGCTTTTTGAAGGAGACCACTGAGTCCACTGATCTCAGGCTCAGGGGGAGAGAGTTCCAGAGTCTGGGGGCCACAGCAGCAAATGATCTGTCACTTTTGGTCTTTAGCCTGGTGCTGCACAACCAGTAGGCTTTGATCACTGGACCTCAGGGACCTGCTGGGGGTGTAGGGACTAAGAAGATCACCAATGTAAGATGGTGCTTGTCCATGTAAGGCCCTATAGACCAGAACCAGGATCTTGAAATGAACCCTGAAGTTGACTGGCAGCCAGTGAAGCTGGAGGAGAAGCGGGGTGATGCGGGTGTGTTTGGAGGACTTGGTCAGAAGCCGAGCACAGGCATTCTGAACCACCTGTAGACGGTTCAGGGAGGTTCTGCTCAGACACGTGAAAAGAGAGTTACAGTAGTCTAAGCGTGAGGAGATGAAGGAGTGGAGAACAGTCTCAAGTTCAGAGCGGGACAGAATGGGTCTCAGCTTAGCAATGTTCCTGAGATGGAAGAAGGAAGAGGGAACAAGCGAACTGACATGAGAATCCAGGGTGAGAGCTGGGTCAAAGGTCACGCCAAGATTCCTGACAGAAGGTTTGGTGTGGGAAGCAAGCTGACCAAGAGAGTCTCTGACTTTGGGAACCAGCTTGTCTGGGGCACAGATGAGGATCTCAGTCTTATCTTCATTCAGCTGTAGAAAGCTCCCAGCCATCCAGGTTTAGATAGAGTCTAAGCAGGTGTGTAACAGCTGCAGCTTAGACATCTCATGGGGCTTAAAGGAGATGTACATGTCAACAAAACACAACCAACCCAATTAGGTCCTGATGAGCCCTAAAGCTGTTAGCATTGTTCATATCCTTGCCATCAGAAGCGACAGAGTTAAGAAAGTAGCTAAAATGCTACTGTATGCTAGCTTTGGCCAGATCACCTCACAGTGTCCCGTTTGACAGCTGGTGTTCCCACATAGTCTCCAAAAAGCCCATAAAAAGTGGATTAGAACAAAAGGATTGCATCATCCTCTATGGTTTTCATGTAAACAAACGCAGGACCGGCACTCAGCTGCATATTATATGCCAGGGGTCATGGGAGCTAGGAATAAGATGGGTAAAGGATAAAAAATCAGCCAGAGGCACAGCAGGTGAAGTGGGACAGTAGTAGGGAGCCTAAGTCACGCCCATCTACTTCCGCACCATGGGTCCCCGTAAGAACGAAAAAATGAATGGAAGTCACTGGGGCTAAAAACGCTGTTTTCTAATTTCGCTTGTTATGTGTCATGGATTTCACATATGATGTCCATGAATTTTAAAGGCACATTTTGATACCAAGAACGTGCTTATTTTCCAACGGGGGAAACGTTATTTTAGGTTCTGCGTGAAAATAAGTCCAGGACAAATGTGCTTCACAAAAGTGATGTCATTGAATAAGACATAGAGAAAAACAGAGGGAAAAGGGCTGTAAGTTCAGCAAACTTTAAATCTTTCCTTCAGGAGGGAAGAACCACCATGAACAAGGCCATGTGGTAAGTAGCAGCTACGCTAGGGGAGAAAAGATTCTGTGGTGACGTTGCATATGCGACAATCGAATGTCTGATTTGTTGTCATGCTAATTACGAACTTTTAAAAGCTGAAAAATCTCAAAGTACATGACTAGCATGGTCGAAACACCCATCATTACTTTCCATTTAAATTGCAGTACAACATATGTGCGATCCAGGGCATAAGGCAAAGAGGATTAGAAAATAACATTTTTAACCCCGTTGACTTGCATTAATTTTTTCGTTCTTCCGGGGACCCATGAGCCAACTGGAAAGGGAGGAGACATTGGCTCCCTATGCCTGCATTCATGCTAACAAAGTTGCTGGAATAAGAAGAGTTTCTTTGCAAACTTTTGGAAATTTTGAATCAGTTCAAAAGTTGTAATTAAAAAGTATGTGGTATCATCAAAGTCAGGAGTTGTAAGTAATGCTTGTGTAAACTTGCAAGTAAACCATTAAATAATGTTTTGAACCTAACGAGGCATTTCCACCGGATGCACAACCAGGTCTTCCAACTTTTGCAAAAGTCCAGCTGTGAGAGTGGGGGTGTGGGGGTTGGCTCGTGTCACATGCCTTCATTGTCAGAGAGTGCGCGAGGGGCAGGGTGTGCTTAGGCTATTGCTTTTTCAGCATGAGAAATCTGAGGTGTGGTGGGAGAGCATGTGAAGACAGTGAAATGCATGTATCTCATGCCCAATGCATGAGTATAGAGCTCCGGGAGTTGACGTCACTTCTCCCGGCATGCAACAGTTCAAATCAAAATGGCGCCATATTGGCAGGCAGAAGCCCGCAGCTGGGCTATTTGTTATTGTCAGAAAACTCAATCAAACGGGAAATGTGGTAGATTCCTGTTGTGCCCCAGGATGCCAGAACAGACGCGGACAACATAAGGAATCAGCCATCTACAGGATTCCCCAAGATCCGGAGCGCCACAAACGTTGGATCATTATAATAAAACGCGCTAGTGACCGGGCTAAAATGAAACTGTGGGATCCCGAGAGTAAAGGTTTTCGCTTATGCAGCGACCACTTCATATCAGGTACTTCAACCAACGTTTCCTCAACTGTGTATGGTATTTATTTTAAATGCTTTTATTACGATTCTTAGTGGGCTTCCTAAACTTATTTTGGCGTGGCTTTTTCTGTCTTATTACTCATAGCAACAAGTAAACATCACGTAAAACGTTGCCTCGTGGTTCTGCGTGCTGCCGTTTACGTGTTTTATGATCACAGCAATTAACCGGCTAAGCTGTATTTAATTTTTAAGCAAGGGTTGATCAATTGTCAGATCACACATAAAAAGCACTTTGGATTGCTATTATCTGTCTCACCGAGACAGATCTCAGACAGATCCTGAGACGCTCCTGCCTGACATATTTATTTTATTCACGGAAAAAAATCAACTTTTCTCTTGTCGTTTAGTTTATACATTCAAACAGCACAGCACTCTATTTAAACTACTTACATGTAAATCTATGTTATTTGTCCATCCATCCATTTTCATCCGCTTATCCGGAATCGGGTTACGGGGGCAGTAGCGTCGAGAGGCCCAGACTTCCCTCTCCCCAGCCACTTGGGCCAGCTCCTCCGGGGAAATCCCAAGGCGTTCCCCGGCCAGGTCCGGTAAGAAGTCCGCTCCGACAGCTTCTGGCGGGGCACGGTAAGGGTCGGAGATGTTTAGTCTATTTAATTTCTGACTATATAAAACGATTTATTCGGTTTTAAAGTGTGAAGTAAACTCAGACGAAGTAAAATCCACGCCGATCCCGTTCATGTTCTTGTTAACCTTTTTTTCCTGCCAATATGGCGTCTACTAACCGAGAGTCACGTGGGGTCCGGAGCTCTATTGGCAGAGCCGGTAAGTGTTGCGTAATGTCCGTTAAGTATGATATGCAGCAATTATATGTCATTATAGTGGATGGGTGCATTTCCACCAGTCGTGAAGCATCGCTTATGTGTTGCATTAGTCTATATTTGACACACTACGCTTCCAGAACACGACAAGCTCAGCAGCTCAGATCGGGCCACACAGGAAGTCAAACACAGAAGCAGAGTAAAACATCCAGCAACTTTCAAAATAAAAGTCATGTCCATATTTCCAGTTGCTTAACTAGTGAAAAAAATCTTCATTGCCCGTAGCTAAGGTAAACAGAACAGAAAATAAACCTGTTTGGATACATCCTGTCATCTTTCTCCTTGAACTGTCAAATTCATGCGCGATCTTAAAATTCTCCTGTGAATTTGTGACCTCGTGGGACCAGCTGCATGGAACGTTTTCACTACCAATTCACATCTGAACTTTCCCAGTGGAAAAAGGCACGCTGCTGAGCCCGCAGGTAAAACGCATCTATTATGTTAAAACACCACACATGTCCTGGAAAGGCTGGGCGAAGACAATTTCGTGCTTTTTTAAAAACCTTTTTTCAAATGTTATGAACATCACATAGTGAACACTACCAGAAATCAGATCACATAGTTCTTGATTGCACTGCATATCAATGTAAAATTTGCATTGTTATGCATTTTTTCGAGAAAAAAAGAAAGAAATATGTGATTTGTGCACCAAGAAAAAAGGGCAATAAAAAAGTTCAGTTTAGCATTTTTTAACTCTTATGAGAACAAGGTTACATTAAATATGGTCATTCTTTGTAAATTAAGCAATTTAACAAGATATTAGTTTTGTTGTTTGTTTAATTCATGCTGCAATAAGATGACTAACTTCTGCTTGGCTGAGTTAAAAGGTTAATAAAATCTTCCAATTCCTTCATTTTGATCTGAGAGATTAACTCTAAAAAGAAAAGCTCTAAAAGTTGCTTCAAGCCTCTTCATGTACTGATAACACTTCTGCTGGGGATGTCCTCATAATTAATAACACATTTAACACTTTCTCATCTCCACATGCAACACTCAGCCTGAAAGTATTATGCGGCATCCAAAAAGAAACAAAAAGAAAAATTCCTGATAAACCAGAGCTTTGATTTTATTACCTGGGCTCCGTGTTCTGCAGGATCCATCCCACCCCTCTCCCGGCTGGTTCCAAAAGCTGCAGGAGCAGAGAGCCGGGATGCTTAATCCAGTCAGGTGTGGTGGTGAATGAGAGTCCACACAGCAGTCACATGTTCATATGACCATCATCCTTCAGAGTCTCGCTGTGATTAGCGCTTCATGGATGCTCTTGTGAAAGATTATTTGAAAAAAATAAAAAATAAAGAATCACGAGCATCTCTGCAGCTGCGCGCAAACGCGTGTCATGAAATCTGCCCTGAGTTACATAACCAGTCTTTATCTGTTGTTTTATTGGAGTCTGACTCATGCAGGAAGACTATTTTAGCAGAAAGGGCTCAGCCAGATCCGTTCAGTGTTTTGTTTTTTTCACAACTGAAAACTTGGAAAACATGAATTTGGTTTAAAAGGGTTGGGTTAGGATTTTCACAGGGGTGGTTCTAGGTTGGGCCAGTGCCACCCTACAGCGTGGACCCCCTTTGTTCCTTGCTGAGGGCAGAGCCACGTTGTGATAATTTAGCCTAATGTGAGACATGGAACCAAAGCACGTGAATGAATTATTCTGAAAATGAAAAGTGATAATTCAAAAAATATTTTCTTTTTGACACGGGGATAGACAACTGAAATAATGCATATTTTTATTATTCTATTTTGAAATGTATTGGTTGTATCAGAAGCACTGTAAATGAATTGTTATTATTGTTACAATTACTTAATAAAATTAGACATACATAAAGGCAATGTTTTTAACGTTTTCTTACAAATGTGCATCTCTGACTGAGCAGCTAACCCCAGCATGCACTGTTAGACTTTGCTGGCATTTGCTAGTATATTACTGTAAAATCAACAGTAAAATACCTCTAAAAGTGTTTGCAGTGTAGTACTGTAATTTCCATGCACTGTTAGACTGTGCTGTCATTCCTATAGTATATTACTGTAAAATCAACAGTAAAATACAGCTAAAATCTCTGCAGTATAGTACTGTAATTTCCATGCACTGTTAGACTGTGCTGTCATTCCTATAGTATATTACTGTAAAATCAAAAGGAAAATACAGCTAAAATCTTAGCAGTGTAGTACTGTATTTGGCATGTAATGGTGAGTAAATTCAACAACATCACATATTTTTCATGGTATGTCACTGTTTTAAAGGAAACAGGTAAAGTACAGCAAATATAAAAATTTGGTATACCTCTCACATTTTTCTGTCTGTGGTTTTTCAGTGGACATTTTAAAATACCTTGCTCAAATCTTCATTCAGAGTGCATTACCAAAACAATTCTTTGAAAAAACACTATGCCCCATAGTAAAGAGAAAATGCTCCAAGAATAAATGTTTTAATTGAGCTATTATAAAAGCATACAGTATGTAAACGCTCACTAAAATCTCTTTAAAAATATTTTAATTATAATATAAAACAAAAGATTGGATGCTTTAACCAAGCCTACATTGTAAATTAAAAAATCATCTCAGATTGATAAAATCATATTTAATCTAATCTATTAGTCCTACTGCCTAAATGACAGTAATTGACATCTGCCTGGTGGGCGATTTAAACTGATAAATGTTTACAGAATTTTATCAAAAAACTGACATGATACCAGTTTACGACTTTATAATTGTAAGAAATTTTATGTAAAATATTCCATAAAATATTGATCATTTCAAAATTCCACCAGTTGTTTGTTTTTTTTTTTTTTGCATGTTTTCACAGCAATATTATAGGATAATTACAGCCACCAAAATTATGCTGTTGTCTATCTATTGTGTTCACTATAGATGTAACAAAAAATTCAGACAGCTATAGATGGAATCTTAAGGAAATGGGCCAAGGAAGAACTCATCAAAGGTATTTTCCACCCCTAGGTATGTTTTATGTTGTTGGGTTTCCCAGAATTAGCTAAGTGAAAAAGAATTCATCACTTTCACCTGTTACAACCTGGATATTTGCTTTCAAAACAACAACATTGGAAACACAATATATGATCGTTGTCTTGCACTTTTAGGAAAAGAAGAAATAAAAACATTTTCCAAACGCGTATCCCGAATGTGACCCATTACAGGGGAGTTGGTCAGTCTGGTAAGTATTTTACTGCATGTTTTGGCTTTTAAACTAGCTATAGCTGTGATCTTCATGCAAATTCTGCAAAATGGTCCCTGTCCATAAATGTGTAAACACCTTATTGAAGTTACCCGATTGCTTTAAAAACTGACAAACAAGGTGATTAATTTTCAGCTGCTACCCATGCAAAGTAATGTGATGCTTAAAACCAAATTTGTTAAGATCTACAAACAATGCATAATCTATTTTTCAATTGTCAGCATGTGATTGTATTTTGGACTGATAGCCAAAGCTAGATTTTACTTAAAATATCTGATGTTTTCTTTTTGTAAATATTCTATGTAAATAATTTATTTATTCATGTAATTGGAAAAACAGTTCTCTGTTTATCCTTTTCTTGAATAACTTTTCATTATATTTTTAGTCACTCAAGCACATCTCAGATATGAATAAGAAAACTGCTTGTGCCAAAATGTTTCTGCTACTTATTGTTTTGCTCTTGATCATTTTTTCTTTTTCTTTTTTTTTCTTTTCAAAGGTAAAATGATTTGCTTCACATTTTCTGTAATGGAGACTGCTATCAAAGTCAGTTTGTTTCCTTGACTTCTCTTGTGTATGACATTTGTTTTCAATAAAGTTAGGAGCAAAAAAAAAACAAATGCTAATTTGGCAGTAAGTGTTTGCAGGTGAAGGCTGCTGGCAGTGCATGCTGTGATATGCAGAACAGGTTGGAGAGGTTTAACTCCGATATTGAGGTCAAATAATTTTCCTTTTGGTGGCCAGTGTGAAAGCTATACTACTTTCCGTTTTTTGAGGGGATGTTACATTTTAGGCATATTTGAGCCTTTTATGACTATTTAGCCTACTGTTAAGGTACTGTTTAGTTTTCTATGCATTTTTGTTGTATTGCTTAAAATATCCCTGGAAAAGAAACTATTGAAGATATAGGGTACTTAAAATGTTTCTCTGTAAATATTATAGATTCCGTGCACACAAATTTATATTGTTCAGTTCACATGTTAGAAGCCATAAACACAATGCAAATTATATGTTTTCTTGTGGAATTGAGAATTGTAAAGCCACTTTTAAAACATTCACTGCCTTTCGTTCCCATATGCACAGAAATCATAGACGAGGGGAGAACACTGAGGAGGAGAGCTGGAAGTTCACTGGAAATCTTAGCTGACAAGTTCCTGGATGTGGGTATGTTGGACAAAATATTAAAACTCTTTGTGTCCATCTGAGGATCCATATTAAAGATGGAAAAAAAGTATTATGCCAGGGCAAATATTTCCACCTACAATTCAAATCATTGGAGAAGTGAATGATTATAGACATCATCTTTACAACTCTGCCACTCAGGATGCTGTGACAAAAGCAAATGTCTCTAATCATAACATGCTAGATGTGTCAGCAGTTGTCTACAAAGGTACCAAATATGTCAAAGGTCATGTTGTTGTAGTAGATCACACTAGTGAGAGCACTGACTTTGGGTAGATAGTTGTGATACTTGTTAATGATTCTAAATTGTACTTTGTGCTAGAATTGCATCAGTCAGTACGCCTTATTGACCTTGGACTTTATTGCCAACACTGCCCTACAGACAGAAGTTTGTGTGTAAATGCTGACAGTCTGATGGATTATTACCCAATACCCCTTTATAACATGGCAGATCTTTTTGTTGTCTCCCTGCACCATTCAGTTTCTTCATGATTTTTTCCCCTTATATTTCAGTGATGGAAATTGAAGATGAAATCACATGCATCCTGCCGGAATTGGAGAGACAGAAAGTTCTGTCCATCGCAGACCACCTGAAAGATGTCATTGGTGTCCAACAAAAAAGTGACCTTCTGTTAGTGGGGCAGATGATCGCAAACATTTTCTTACACCAATTCAAATACGTAAACTACTACTTGCATTTAAGAAAGGTTTGTAGACATTTTGTATACATCTGACTATTTATCAGCTGTAGGTCACACAGGTCACTGATTCATTTCTTTTTTACATTATGACCATCAGTTGCCAATTTCTTCTCACTATACCATTATGTTTTTCTGTTTTAATGGAAGCAATCAAATAAAAAAAGATAATCCAGTGCATTTTGTTTACATCTTGATCTTAAATATATCCAACTATTACACAAACAAGTGTGTGTGTGTGTGTGTGTGTGTGTGTGTGTGTGTGTGTGTGTGTGTGTGTGTGTGTGTGTGTGTGTGTGTGTGTGTGTGTGTGTGTGTGTGTGTGTGTGTGTGTGTGTGTGTGTGTGTGTGTGTGTGTGTGTGTGTGTGCACACAAGTATAAACCTTTTATTTTGGGAGCCTTTATTGTATTACAGTATGTTACCGTTTACTCGTATCTTAGTAAAATATGACATGAAAAAGGTAAATTACTGCCCACAAAAACACAGTAACCTCTGACAGCGTTGACTATTTTCAGTAGCAAAAGTGTATGTTTACGGTAAATCACTGGAAAAGGTATTGCAGCATACCTTGAAATGAGCTTACGGTAACATACCATAAACATACAGCACAACACATATTTATTAATCACGGTATAATATTGCGTTATTGATGTAATTTTCTTGTGAAATATATTACGGTATTTTACTGGCAACACTGTTGCCGGTGAGATACTGGCAACGCTGTTGCCAGTATCTCACCGCCATGCAGTCAGAGGGTTTTTTACAGCAATAAAATATACGGTATAATTCTGGGATCAACACTAATTGGAACCCGAGACCTGGAGAGGGGTTGGACACTCTACTTTGCTGGAGTTGCTCCGGGTGAGAGGCGGAGGGCTGGGGTTGGCTTTTTGTTAGCCCCGAGACTCTCTGCCTGTGTGTTGGGGTTTACCCCGGGGGACAAGAGGGTAGCTTCCTTGCGCCTTCGGGTCGGGGAACGGGTCCTGACTGTTGTTTGTGCTTATGGGCCAAATATCAGTTCAGAGTACCCACCCTTTTTGGAGTCCCTGGGACGAGTGCTAGATAGTGCTCCATCAGGGGACTCCATTGTCCTGCTGGGGGACTTCAATGCTCACGTGGGCAATGACAGCTTGACCTGGAGGGGTGTGATTGGGAGGAACGGCCCACCTGATCAGAACTCGAGCGGTGTTTTGTTATTGGACTTCTGTGCAAGCCGCAGTTTGGCCATAACGAACACCATGTTCGAACATAAGGATGCCCACCGGTACACTTGGTACCAGGGCAGCCTAGGTCACAGGTCGATGATAGATTTTGTAGTCGTATCATCTGACCTGCGGCCGTATGTTTTGGACACCCGAGTGAAGAGAGGGGCGGAGCTGTCAACTGATCACCACCTGGTGGTGAGTTGGATCAGATGGCAAGGGAACATGCCGCGTAGACCTGGCAGACCCAAACGCATAGTGAGGGTCTGCTGGGAACGCCTGGCAGAAGAACCTGTCAAGACGGTCTTCAACTCCCACCTCCGGCAGAGCTTTGACCACGTCCCGAGAGCAGTGGGGGACATTGAGTCCGAGTGGGCCTTGTTCCACTCTGCGATTGTCGAGGCGGCTGTTGCTAGCTGTGGTCGTAAGGTGGCCGGTGCCAGTCGTGGTGGCAACCCCCGTACCCGCTGGTGGACACCAGAGGTTCGGGGAGCCGTCAGGCTGAAGAAGGAGGCCTACAGGGCGTGGCTGGTCTGTGGGTCTCCGGAGGCAGCAGACAGGTACCGGATAGCCAAGCGGGGTGCAGCAGTGGCAGTTGCCGAGGCAAAATCTCGGGCGTGGGAGGAGTTTGGTGAGGCCATGGAGAAAGACTATCGATCGGCTCCAAAGAGGTTCTGGCAAACTGTCCGGCGCCTCGGGAGAGGAAGGCAGCAACTCGCTCACACTGTTTACAGTGGGGATGGGGAGCTGCTGACGTCAACTGAGGCTATAGTCGGACGGTGGAAGGAATACTTTGAGGAGCTCCTCAATCCCACCAATGCGCATTCCGAGGAGGAACCAGAGCTGGGAGGCCTGGGGATGGACTGTCCGATCTCGGGGGCAGAAGTTGCTGAGGTAGTCAAACAACTACACAGCGGCGGAGCCCCGGGGGCGGATGAGGTTCGTCCTGGGTATCTCAAGGCTATGGATGTTGTAGGGCTGTCATGGTTGACACGTCTCTACAACATTGCGTGGTCATCGGGGGCAGTTCCTAGGGAGTGGCAGACCGGGGTGGTGGTCCCCATCTTTAAGAAGGGTGACCTGAGGGTGTGTTCCAACTATAGGGGGATCACACTCCTCAGCCTCCCTGGAAAGGTCTACGCCAAGGTACTGGAGAGGAGGGTCCGATCGATAGTTGAATCTCAGATAGAGGAGGAGCAATGTGGTTTTCGTCCTGGCCGTGGAACTGTGGACCAGCTCTATACCCTTGCAAGGGTGATGGAGGGGGCATGGGAGTTTGCCCAACCAATCCACATGTGCTTTGTGGATTTGGAGAAGGCTTATGACCGTGTCCCCAGGGGCACCCTGTGGGGGACGCTCCAGGAGTATGGGGTGGGTGGCTTTCTGTTAAGGGCCATTCAGTCCCTTTACCAGAGGAGCGTGAGTTTGGTCCGCATAGCCGGTAGTAAGTCGGACCTGTTCCCAGTGAGGGTTGGACTCCGCCAGGGCTGCCCTTTGTCACCGGTTCTGTTCATCACTTTTATGGACAGAATTTCTAGACGCAGCCGTGGTGTGGAGTGTGTCGAGTTTGGTGGCAGGAGAATCTCGTCTCTGCTTTTTGCGGATGATGTGGTCCTCCTAGCTTCATCCAGCTCTGACCTTCAGCTCTTGCTGGGTAGGTTCGCGGCCGAATGTGAAGCGGCTGGGATGAGGATCAGCACCTCCAAATCTGAGACCATGGTTCTCGACCGGAAAAGGGTGGCTTGCCACCTCCGGGTCGGGGGAGAGGTCCTACCTCAAGTGGAGGAGTTTAAGTATCTCGGGGTCTTGTTCACGAGTGAGGGTAGGAGGGATCGGGAGATCGACAGGCGGATTGGTTCGGCGTCTGCAGTGATGCGGACGCTGAGCCGATCTGTCGTGGGGAAGAGGGAGCTGAGCCAGAAAGCCAGGCTCTCGATTTACCGGTCGATCTACGTCCCAATCCTCACCTATGGTCATGAGCTTTGGGTAATGACCGAAAGAACGAGATCGCGGATACAAGCGGCCGAAATGAGTTTCCTCCGTAGGGTGGCCGGGCTCAGCCTTAGAGATAGGGTGAGGAGCTCGGACATTCGGGAGGGACTCGGAGTAGAACCGCTGCTCCTCCGGATCGAAAGGAGCCAGTTGAGGTGGTTTGGGCATCTGGTCAGGATGCCTCCTGGACGCCTCCCCGGGGAGGTGTTTCGGGCATGTCCTGCCGGCAGAAGGCCCCCGGGTCGACCCAGGACACGTTGGAGAAGTTACATCTCCAATCTGGTCCGGGAACGCCTTGGGGTCCTGCCGGAGGAGCTGGTGGACAAGGCCGGGGAGAGGACGGCCTGGAGCTCCCTAGTTGGGATGCTGCCCCCGCGACCCGGACCCGGATAAGCGGAGGAAGACGACGACGACGACGACACTAATTGGTAAGTTACCGTTAACCATGCATCACGGTATCATGCTGGCAACAGTGTTGCCAGTTTATTACCGTAAAGTGGATAGGTAAAGTCTAACAGTGTGGCCCCCTCTAGTATAGAACCTCACCTGGATGATGATGAGGCTTGATTCTGGTAGCCTGGCCTTCCAGACTCGTCCGCTGTTCTACAAAGACAATTACTCACAAGCAGAGAGGCACATGAGGGATGGGACAAGCCAGCTCAAAAATAACCAATCAGAAAAAAGACGGAAGTGTCACCTGTACTGCGCGATGCTTTAGTTTTTTAACTGTAGTCAAAAATGGTGTCTGGCGCCGGCGCAAACATCTTTCTTGAGCACAATGGCTTTTAGCCATTTTAACTTGTAGTTTTAAAGACATGTCCAAGCCATTTAGAAGAAAGGAAAGAGCCGTGGCGAACTCCGCTTCAGTCGCAGAGAAACTCTGCGTCGTAGTGTGTGACGTACGCTGCTCAGTGCTGATTGGCTCGGTTAGAATTCTCAGGGGGTGGGGTTATTTGAACAGGAGAGTTCCCAGCTGGTTGGTCACGCTGTGAGACATTTTCAGCAGCAGCACTCATCAACTTTTTTTTTTACCCTTCATCCAATAGTGGTCTCAGAGAAAGTAGTTATATAGAATTGGTCATTATGGACGGACTGATTAACACAAGTTCAAAAACTCAAAGCACTCTGTCTGGTCCATCGACGTAGGTCTGGTCCTGCCTGTTTGGCAGTTATTTGTTGTTGAGGTAGAAAAAAGAAGAAAACAAAAGAAACCTCACAAAATGACCTCAAAACAATAACGAAATGAGTGGAAAAGGACTCAAAATGAGTTACAGACGCACTCAAAATATCTCAAAAATACTGAAAAGGAAAACAAACTGATCTGAAGTGTCACAAAGAGAAAAACTGACAAAATTGCTAAAGCTGTGCTAAATAATTAATAATGCATGTGGGGAAAGACAGAAACATTAGATTTTAGAAAGATTGTCAGTTGGCTCCAAACAGCTTCGAAACGACAAAAGCAACAATCCAAAACATTTTAAAATGTGTTTTTCATTATAAGATGAAAAACTGGCACAAAAGAGGCTGAAACATCTCATAAAGTGGCTCGAAATGACTAAATGAAATTATTTAAAAGCAAAAAGAAGACAATAAGATAAAATGGTTATAAGAAAAGAAAATATTTAAAAAATAATATTTTTAATGACTAAAACTAGTGAGTGATAAAACCGCTAACGACTAATAAAATGACATTATTTGGCTTTTTGGGGGGTGCTGGTTTTACTTTTGTGACTGTTTCAGCTTCTGGATGGTGACTGAGAACATTTGAGGGATTTCTGGGACTGAAATAGTAAAGTGCTGCCATCTGGTGTCGATCACGACCTGAGCGCGTGAGTCCAGAGGGAAAAAAACGACTGCATGTGACGTCACTGAGACACAAACAGAGGTGTGTTCATGAAAAAAAGGTTTAAAAAAATAAAAACTCCTCTGGATTCACCTCAGGCTGGAGGATCTGCATCCGTTTAGCGCCATCTACTGTTTATCCCGCAGATGACAGCTCGCGCGCTGCAGTGAGACGCTAAACGCCACACCTCTGACAGCTGTGAGCGTTTTCTTCACACTGCATGTCAATTAGCTGCACATTCAGCCTATTATGCGCCACTTTTATTTCTAAATATCATGCATCTTTTTTCTCCCATTAATGAGGCACCAAAATTCAATAATGTTGCAGATTACGCAACAAAAAACTCAAGTGATTGATGCTCAAAAGGGCCGATCCATTTATTTATCCGCTATAATATTTTGTCTCTATTTTTGCTTGTTTGTTTTATATTTTCTTTTAGAATTTTATGCAGTAGAGATTTAAAAGCTAACATTTTGTTTGAATTAATAATTTCATGAATAACAATGACTTAAAGCTTTAAATTGTGCTGAAAATGTGGAAATAAGCCAATTTCTGCTTAAAATAATAAAATAACTGCATTTTTTATTCTAATACATATTTGTTTTGATTAAAAATACATAACAAGGATCGTTTTCACTCATCAGTGTCATCAAATAAGTTTTTCTTCTGGTCACCAAATTTTATTGGAGCTTTAAAATCTCTAAATTCCTGCAAAAATCCATCTTTTTATGTTAGTAAAAACAGTGAAAAGTCAACTTTCAACTCAATCTAATAATACGGATATTTTTTAAATTGTAGGTTTGAATAAATTATAAGATCATGACAGCATTATTTATTATGTTTCAGTCACATTACAGCAAATACAAAGATTTTCACAAGACACTATTAAAAAAACTCAAAAGAAATAAAAGAAAAGCTCCTAAATCTACGACATTTATAACTTTTTACGACACATTTTTTGCTTTTAAACTTTTAGTAGCCTAAAGATTTGATAAAGTACAAAATACATATTTTTTTCACTGACAGAGATTCATATTATTATCATTAGTAGTAGTAATAGTATTATTGTTGTTGTTATTATTATTATTATTATTATCATCATCATTATTGTTTTTGCTACACAAGTCCTTGTCATGTACAGAATCCCAAATGAAGTTACCAACAGATGAGGCTACTGAACAGAAGAAAATTGGGTGGCCCCGTTTTTAAACCTATTTTTGTACATTTAATCACCATCACGTGTCCGGAAATATTTACAATATGTTAATAATTACAGTGGTTCAGCGGTGAGGAGAGATTTTACAGTTTGGCCTTCAAGGATGTGACTGTCCAGATAGATTGATGATAGATAGATAGATAGATAGATAGATAGATAGATAGATAGATAGATAGATAGATAGATAGATAGATAGATAGATAGATAGATAGATAGATAGATAGATAGATAGATAGATAGATAGATAGATAGATAGATAGATAGATAGATAGATAGATAGATAGAGGGGTTTGTTCTCTAACTGTGGGAGTAGAAGCTGTAATAACCAATGTCCTTCGTGCAGTTTTTCTCGCACTCTCTCGGTGCCAACAGCTCCGTTTTTAACGGGGACACGGACTCTGAAACCGGCGTGGCAGACGGTGAGATTCTTCTCCGTTTTGCCTGTTCAAAGATCCCAGAGTCGCTCGAATCGATTGACTTGATCGACGACGGCGTCTCTATCCAGCTGGACTCTGAGGTGATGTCTTTGGGTTTGGTCTCTTCCGAGCCACCGATCGGTGACCTTTCCGTGGCGATGGAGTCCCCCTCCTCCGACAGGTAGTTGGTGGCGGCTCTGCCACCGAGGGAGTTGGCGGGCCAGCAGGAAAAGACCGAGCTGGGTTTGCTGTTTACGCCACAGTACTGCGGCGGCGTGCGTCCTCCCCAGCCAGACGGGTCTGCGTAATAGCCAAGAGGCCGGTTGGAGCAGCCCGCTGTCGACAGGGGAAGAGCCTTCACTCCGGCCGCTGCGTAGGACAGCAAGGTGGCCGCGTTACCGGCGAAATCCGCAGCGTCGTATGCCGAGGCTGCAAAGTCCAGTCGGTTGTTGGCAGGGGTGACAAACCATCGCTGCGGGGGGGTGGCAACAGTGGGCTCCTCGGTTTGCTGCGGGGATAGCAAGCTGTTGCCGAGTGGGACGCTGCGCTCCGTGCCAGGACCAGTCCCCACGCCAGGGTGAAAGCGAGATTTGGCATAAGTGCTGACAAATTGGTCCTGCAGGAAGGAGCTAGGCATGGCATATCTCGCACCCGGCACGATCTGTGAACGCGGAGAGTCACCCGGTGATGGAGTTAGGCGGTCAATGTCGCAGCCTGTGTAGACACTGAAAAGATGGAGAGAAAACAGAAAACAATTCGGCGCTTAATGGTGCGCAATGGTGGCGTTTTCAACAAAGACGTTTGTCTGCTAATACACCAGCTCAGAAGGGAACTTCACAGTGCGTCCATTCGTTTTGAAATCATGTTTCTTTTTATTAAAAATAATCTGCAGCTTTTTGGGAACCCGTTTCACCTGACGCAACCTCGAAATATGGGCCTTCTGTCTCACACAAGGAATTAAATCATTTTTAATATCATTTGTGGAATCTATATTGTTCTTAATCGGTGCGCAAAGGTCAAACCAAATTCACAAACGAAATTGAACGTAAATTAATTAAAATCTGCTGAATTTGTTTCGTTAACAGATTTTTGCTCTTTACTATTAAAATCATTCAAATAAAAAGCAACATTTTTATTATCCTTGTCCAAATAGCGCACTGTGTTGTTCAGATAAAAATTGCAACCAGGAGGCAAATAGATGTAATTGTGTTGTCTTACGTGTCGTAATTGTCCCGAAATCCTTTTGCAAACGGGTTGTGATCGATTTTCAGCTGCGTGATCTGCAGAGAAAAGATGCGGTGATCATTTCATACAACTGTAAGCATGCAAACACAATTCATAATGAATGTGATTTCATTTGAGACTTAATTCTAATTTGTGGAAAAACCTCAAAGATAAAAACTTATTCTCATATTCCTTGTTTAAATCTATCAGTAACTTTATATTTTTTCGTTTTTCACAACGAATATATATATATATATATATATATATATATATATATATATATATATATATATATATACATTTAAAAAAATGCAACATTATTTTTTAAATCCATGTTATTTCCAAAATGCGCTAAATGGTTTATTTTGTGCAGAGAGAGAGAGTTCTTGTACATCAGTGTTCTGGTACGCGGTAACAGCGATGAACTGCGTCTCTGTGAAGGTGAACGTCTGGACTCTTCCTGGTTGGCTGGTGTCCTCCGTCCCATCCTCGTTTACTTCCACCACATGGAGCCTGGGCTGGTACTTGTGGAGGGACTGGAGGACCACCATCTGGAGTTTCAATAAAGGACGAGCGTCAGACAAGAAAAAAGACATTTTTAAGTTTGGAAACACTATTTTTACACAGAAGGAGCAAATTCAGACAAAAGAAATAAACCATAACGGTAAATATACGTACAATTAATGAAATGCGTTAAACAACAATAAAATAGTTGGATTTGAGGTTGCATTACCTGTCCTGTGTTGTTGGAAGCGCCTTTGTTGTTGGTGAGCTTTAATTTTCCAAAGGAGATTTCTTGACGCATCCAGTGCGCACCGGTGTTGGGTGAGTCGGGGTGCATGTAAACTCTATTACCTTTAAAAAATACGCACAGAAAAAAATACATTCAAAGTGATTTTAGATTCGCGATGACCTATTTCCAAATGAAATTAACTGCGGGAAAATGCCCTTTTCCTAATATTTTCTATCGAAATTTTCAAAAGTCGTGATTACCTATCACGTTCGTGTCCGCTTTTCCACATGGCACCCACTTTCCGCCTTGAAACCTCCAGTGATTTGGATCAGCGAGGATTACATCCACAAATATATTGTAGTGAGCGGTTGGGTCGAGGCCAGAAATGTTGAAGCTTAAAAATGGAAACATTCGTCTGCAGAAACAGGAGAAAATACATGTATGCTGATATTTTTACCATATAAACAAATTATGTTCTTTTTTATTTGCAATTTAGATGTCCCAATAAATGCATCAATTGCGCCTTTTATTATAAGGGGAAATAGTTTATTTATTTATTTGAGACCGACTTGCAATGATGTGAAAATCCGACTGGTCCTGCATGTGCGCCCTCTTACCGTCCTTGTTTTGTGATGATCATCTCAGTTTGGTGCCTGTGGAACTTCAACCACAGGGCCCTGTTGCACAAATACACCTGCGCCTTCCCCGGAACCAGTCCCGCTTGCGCCGAGGAGAACTGGTAAAAAGCCCCTCCTTGGTATGCGTGTCCATATTGTTGCGCGTAAGGGTAACCTGCTGCCGGGTAGGCTTGAGGAGAAGTGTTGGTTAAAAGGCTGTTGTATGCTCCATTAGTTATGACCGGGTGATGGGCCATGTACCGGCTGGGACTTCCGATGGAAAACGCCGGGTGCGCGGGTCCATGCTGGCTCGGGTAAGGGAACATCGCACTGGGAGCTGCTGCTGAAACGGACTGCGGCTGAGAAGACGGAGAAAAGATGCACCTTTCTCCTGCAGATCCATCGAAATTATGACGGATGTCAGAGACTCCGTGAAGATCAGGAGAGAGTTTGCCCCTCTGGACGTCCCCTGATGCGTCCTTGGAGTCGGGAAAATTGTCTGCCTCTGACTGATTCGTCATCTCCCTGGAGTTTTTTTTCAGAGGTGAACTTCTCTCCAGGTTGTCACTTGCGGATATAATAGGATGGTCCTGCAACGAGAGCTCCTCGGATCCATTGGAGCTCGCAAAGCCACTGCCCACATTCATAAATTTCTTTGAGAGTTCACTCGGCAGCGAGATGCAATTCTCGACCTGCATAGCTCAATAGGAAGCAACTATTACCTCAACCTATATCACCAGCTTCTGCACACGCCTCTTCCCCCAGTCTAACACCACCAAGTGCGCCTTTGAGATGACTTGAAGCAAGGAAGGCGGTAAATTAGCCAATTGACACCATCCTGCAATCAGGGTGGATTTTCTCTCCATCACTCTGCGCGCGTTGCTAATGAAACAAGTGCTGCCATTGGTTAACTCAAGTCTGTAATTTAATTAGACAGCTCTTAATTAGGACAATCTGAGGAGCGCCGTGCACAAAGTGATTTGTTTGTATTGTGACACGGGCCTGAGATTAAAGCATATGGACTCCGAATGATTCTCCTGGTTAAAAAATAAAGCACGAAACATAAAAAAATACAACAAGAAGGTAATTATAATTGTTGTTTTTCGCTGTCAGCTGTGTTATTTACCTTTTACCGGCGTTATTTACCTATTTATGCGCTACGAGTGCCAAAGTATGTCGCGGAGAAGCCTAGATATATTATTAACACACCAAAAAAATTTAATAAATAAATGACAGTACGTGACAGGCAGTGCATCTGAAGCCTTAAAATGTTTGTGATATAGCGTGAAATCCTGCGTCCCTCTGAAGATGTGTTTATGATTCCCAGTGCTGGTAAATATTTCATGTACTAAAAGTTATGAGCCGGTGCACCTGCTGTGGCTTTGAAAAACAAAATAAATAATAATAATAATAATAATAAAAGCTCACTGGAAGAGAAAAAAACATTAAATCCTGTGTGGAAAAATAAATCATTTAAACTCTTTTTGATTACATTTCTGAGGTACATGTAAAAGGCTTTAATAAAATAAAACATGTATTTCCTAAAAAAATAAACACGATTCAGATGAGATGAAGTCAGTGATTAAACCCTAAATCATTTCATTTCACAATTGGAGATTTTCTAGCAGGTTTAGTTTGTGATAAAACAATTTTGATTGAAAACATAAAATCAAATTAAATTAAATTATGAGACAGCAGCTGCAGATGCTGCAAACACCTCCATTTTTCATTTGCTAATAAGGTTACTCCAGAACAGCTGTTCTGTTCTGTTTAGATACTGTCTGACAGAAAAGTTCTGATTTCACTTTTTCTTATTTCTTGTTTCCTTCAATAATCTTCACTGGGATGTGCTTTTTTCATAGTGATATGTTGCATTTTTACTGACAACATAAAACACTTAGAACATTTAAAGAAAAACAGCTTTTGGTTGAGTTGCGTGCAGAATGAGGAACCAACCAGGACTATCTGAGGGTTAAAGGAACACAAGTAAAGGCCTATTACACTGGAAGGCATTTTGTTTCTCTAATGAACAGCCATGGTTCTCTGAAACTAACTAGAGAGGTCATTACAGAAGGGCTACTGGGTCCAGCAATCTATTTCTGAGAAACATGCAAGCACAGGCTTGTCTGCACCAAAGGAAAAGAGGCCACTCTGCTCTGCTCATTACAGGATTATGGTTCACTTCCATCTATGATCATTAATAAGCATTACTCTCTCTCTTTCTCTCTCTCTCTCTCCCTCCCCCTCTCTCTAAAGAAACCAATTGTTGAATCAACCATGCATTTGCACAGTGCGTCTCCCCAGGTGTGCCTGTTTATCAGGCCAAGTCCCCCCTTTATTGGCTCAGCTAGCCGTTTGGACATAATCAAACAGGAGGGGCTGATTTGTTATGCTTGTGGCCAGATTTGTCCCTCGAGGAGACATAAAGAAGTGCAGGTTAGGACATCTGCCTTCTGCCTCCTTTGACCAGCTGAAGCAGTGACTCACCATGAACAACATCTATAGCTATTTAAATGTTTTAATTAATATGAAAATGCTAATGTGCTCTTGGATGCATGCATTTACATTTGGTCAGTGTATGTATTTTATATGATATGGTGCACCCAAACCAAGGAGCTCCAGTGCACTGTAAAATCTGATATGTTGTTTCAACTTTAAAAATACAAAAGAGTTGCTTTAGAAATTCTAGTGAATGAAGTTGTTTTCTACTGGTTATATTTTTTTAAAAATTGTCTCTGATTGTTTTTAGATCTCTGCTTTAATGTGGTTTATCTGGATAGATTTATTGAAATATGTCCAATAGTTTTTTTTAAACAATGACAACTAGTTCATTTTAATTAAAGTGATACCATTTGTAAATAAGTTCATCTTTTTACTAGAGAACTTGGGGCGGAGCTAATTGCAATTATAACAAATGTTACAGTAAAATGACCATGCACTTTATTTATATGACTTTTACATTTCTTTGCAAATTTGAACATAAACCCCCTATTCAAGTCTACATGTATAAAATATGTTAATAGAATTAACTTTGATTTCAGAAACTTTTATTGTGCAAACCAGGATTGGACCACAGCTCAATGATTGGAAACCCCTAAACCGACTGTAAATGTCCCGTATTATACAGTGCTGGTAGAAATTGACTAAAATATTTTGTTTAGTTGTTTGATTCTAAATCTAAATAAGAAATTTCAGATAACCGAATGATTAGTCTGAGTTTGAATACCTGTTTTATTCTGATGGATGCTAAAAAAAATTGAGTCATCAAGTTGTGCACGGCGCTTGTTTGGCAGCTGATGAGTGCTATGAAATCACAGTCTGATAGTGACCTGGCTTTGTTGCTGTACTGGACTTGTGAGTAATAATTCATTTTTGTCCAACTGTGTGGATCTTTTTTACTTCATGTCTTATTTTAGTATCTGTTGGCTCAATGTTGCGTTAGCTCGTTGTTAGCACTAGCTACAGCAGGTGGTGGAAGGGTTGACTATGACAGTCGTAATTCTGCTTTCATTTAGTTGGAGAGAGAAGCAGGAAAATCATTAAGGGCTCCCTTGAAGAATATATATATATATATATATATATATATATATATATATATATATATATATATATATATATATATATATATATATATATATATATATTCAAGTTTACTAGTTTCTTGGAAATACATCATCAGTACTTGATACTGATGGTTGGCATGCATTTGATATAACGCGTTCTGGAGCCCTAGATCCCCCCAAGATGCTGTACAATGTCATTCACCCATTCACACACACAATCACACCCTGGTGGTAATTAGGCTACACTGTAGCCACAGCTGCCCTGGGGTGAACTGACAGTGTGCGGTGCACTGCTGTACACTGGTGCCACCAGTCCCTCCAACCACCAGCAGGCTAGGTGGGTTAAGTGTCTTGCCCAAGGGCACGATGACAGTGACAGACTGAGCCGGGCTTGAACCTGCAACATTCCGAGTACGGGGCAGGTACTTAACTCCTGTGTCACCGTCGCCTTAAAAAAGACATGAAAAAATACCTTGAAACAGCTGAAAGGCAAAATATTTTTTACAGGTATCCTCTATTCCCTAAAAGCGCAGAAACATAATTATAAAAAAGACGTTTCTCTCTTTTTAAAAGTGTTAATTTGGGTACAAAACAACCTGCTTTCATCAACCATCATATTGTCACTTTTTTCTTGTTGTGCCAGAGGAATCTGCTTGCCACCTGGGTCTAATCCAATCAATGTGAATGACAAGGAGAGAAAAAGCCTGAAAGTGAGCACCAGCTTAGGGACTTTACCTAATGCCCAGCACTGTCACTTCAATGATATGATCACAGCACACAAAATGACAACAAAATTATAGCCAGCAAGGATACTGGGACATCGTGTGCTGTTCCAGTCAGGTGAAATTGCTTTTTCCTGACTATGAAATGCCGTGTCTCTTGTCGGATGGGTAAACATTTCCTTGTCAGGCCAGTAATAAGGAATGAGGCACAGTGGGCTGAACTAAGAGGGTAGAGCCAAGGTTATTTGGGATTCATGACAGGTAGTGGCTTATATTACAGCAGCTCTAAAAATTTCATGGGAATGCATTTAAGATGGCCTTTAAGTTATTTATATGTTGTTTGCTAGATGTCACATTGCAATTTCCATCAATAAATTAAAGTGAAGAGTTTCTTTCATTCTTATTTTTCTTCATTTTTGACCAAAAAAATGCTACAAGAGAACCAGTAGTTAAATTAGAGTCTAATTAACAAGCATGATTAATCTGATTGAGCGTGGTGGTGCTTTGTGCCATGCTAACATAACTATATCCCCCTGTGGCTTCCTGCCATCAGTGATCTGCTCTGTCAGAGGGAATCAGGCTGCTTTCTGACAGAAAAGACAGCTGGAGGCCTGCTAAGGGGCGGAGTGGACAGTTGTGGCTTTTAAACCCTTATTAGCCGTCCTCCCTGGACACACAGAGACATGCGTCTACGCAGAAGTGCACTCCCACACCTGCTCATTATTGATGTCCTTTAAGGGTTGCCCAGTCAGACCAGACTGATTTTTTACCACAAAGCTCACAGCAAATTAACCTCAGGACAGGTGATCACGATGTTTGGTGGAAATACAGGTGACAGGAATCATGTGTTAATACCATGCCAGAGCCGCACTAGGGGGGCTTCTCACCCTCAAACAACATTTATGAGTGTGCTTTAAAGAACAATGAACCTCTTTCTCCTAAAAAAAACTGCAACAAATGCTTTGAACTGTGCATTTATAGAAATATCTAGCGGATGCATGCAGAGGTAAACCAGTGATACCAATATTCTGCATCACATACAGACTTCGTGTGCGTTTGGGTTGCTGGATTGATGAGGATCTCTGTTTTATAACATTAAAGTGCTTTCCAGGGAAGTGTCCAGGGAGTGGCCTGGGGTAGCACATGCCACCCCAGGTACCACCACATTAATTTACCTTTAAATAGGCTTTTCATCGTCCACAAAAGGCTTGGGGGTAAAACAAAAAAAGCATAACCATTGGTGCCACCCGTGCACAAAGTTGTGCCTCACCTGGGCCACCCCATTTTAAAAGATCTGGACACGCCACTGGTGCTTTCGTTTTAAGAGATGCTGCACCAACGAGCTGAAAATCCTGAGGTTTTCCCTCAAAAAATCTGCAATGCAATACTCTGATAGGTCCTGTTTGTGCAGGGAAGTCCTTTTCAGGCACAAAGGACTATTAATGCTTACATTTAGTATTATATGTGATAAATGATAAATGACCCGCACTTGTATGGCGCCTCAGAGTGTGGACTCCAAAGCGCTTTACACTACAGTGTATCATTCATCCATTCACACACACACATTCACACACTGATGGTGATGAGCTACGATGTAGCCACAGCTACCCTGGGGCGCGCTGGCAGAGGCGATATGTGATTTAAACAGCAATAAGTATATAGATCTGAATAAAACGGTAAATCAACACTTTACAACAGCAGTAGCATTAAAATGATGTTTTCTTTGTTTAC